CAGAACAACAGGAAAACATATATCTTACCACGCGTGTTGCTGCAACCTCTTGTCCTCCTCTGCCCCCTCTCCTCCGCCTCAGTACCCTCTCTTCCTCCACGTGCATCATCCTCTGCAACCTCTCCTCCTCTGCACCCTCTCCTCCTCTACACCCTCTCCTCCTTTGCACCCTCTCCTTCTTTGCACCCTCTCCTTCTTTGCACCCTCTCCTTCTTTGCACCCTCTCCTTCGCTGCAGCCTATCCTGTAGCCTCTCCTCCTCTGCACCCTCTCCCAAAAGCTAAGACAAATAACAGCAGGATCGCCCGCGCACCATCAATAGCAGCACCGCCCGCAACATCACACCAAATTTATTGGATTGCTGCGGCTGGGATGGGATGGGCAGAGAGAGGTGAGGCGCCGAGATAGGCGAAAGAGGCAGGGAGAGAAACTGAGCCAGCAAACGCAGGGCAGAATGCAAGAGCAAGAGCTTTGGAGCATATCATGATAAATGCAGAATTGCGGAACGAATATGCAAACCAGTAACTGGATGGGAAACTGCCATTTTAAGGTGACCCTCGCGGAGTGTAGCTCGTGGAGTGAACCTCGCACCGCCCTCCCACCGCCCTCCCTCTCCTCGCATCATGCTACCACAGCACAGGACGAGAGGGGTGGAGCAAAGGAGAGCAAGAGGATCAAGCGGAGGAAAGGAACCCAAGCAGTCAGTAGAAACAAAAAATGTGAAACGCACACAAGGAGGTAAGAAAGCGACGTGGGTATGAGTATGATGAATGCATTCTAATCTATCCCGGTGAGGGAAGAATGCGGTACAACAGTGGGCAATGATAAACACGAAGCATAAGCGGTAATGATGGCAAGGGCGAAAGGAGAGGGAACTTAGCCGTATGGGGGTGCTTGCAGGACAGTGGCGTCAGGTTTCCAGGAGGCTCGCACACCGCTGTGGCTACCTGCCGTGCGTCATCCCACCGCCCTCCCTCTCTGCACCACGCTGCCATAGCACCAGACGAGATGGGAAGGGGAGCAAGAAAACAGATGTATGAACTATACACTGAATCTATAAACTACACTAACGTATTGCACTTTACATTCAATGAAGGACCATTCGAGCAGGAGAAAGGAACCCACTCGCACTCAGCAGCAGCACTCGCACTCATCAGCAGCATACGCGCTCACTAGCAGCACACACACTCACCAGCAGCACACACACTCACTAGCAGCACTCGCACTCAGCAGCAGCACTCGCACTTAGCAGCAGCACTCGCACTCAGCAGCAGCACTCGCACGCACCAACAGCACTCGCGCTCACCACGCGGATTCTGACGTTTTGATTTCGAGCATGCCCCGAGAAAGCAAAGCGACAAGAAAATGAACCAAAGACAGAAAGCGATAAGGATGGCAAGGGGGTGAGTAGAGGGGTTAAGAGGGGACTTAGCAGCGGTACGACGGGTTGAGCGACGAAAGTAGCAGCAGTTGTTTGCCAGCAGCAGAGTGACTCCCATCATCAACGGCACTCCCAGCAACAGCAGCGCCACTCGAGCTCGTTTGGTGCGTGAGGGAGTGGCGTGATCAGCAGGGCATGCAAGATGCACGTCGTGCGTCATCCCACTGCCTTCCCTCCTCTTTGACCCTGGGACAAGGAAATGGGCTTGGGAGAGAAGGCAGAGGGGAAGGAGATTAAGAATCTGGTCCCTAGCCTATGGTTTAGGATGAACAAATAATATCTGCTAATGTGCATAACATGATTGATGAGATACTGTAGATATGAGAGTAACCTTTCAGAAAATAATAGAATTACCAATATTTATGGTTGTAGGAAATTCAACCTACCCTATCAACATGGACCACCTTAATTACCAAGGACACTTGTCACCTATGTACATCGCAAGACCTAGCATAATAAAAAAATCGGTTATTTTTGTGGTGAAGAAATATGTGCTATGGACCCTAGCTCTTTTTACAATTGCTTGAGAAATGTGAGAGCTCTAATCCCTACCCAGCATACTCTGCCTTCTACTTATTGATGCCGCTGCTCACAGGTACTTTCCAAACCCCCCTTTGGTATTACCCTGGCTGTCGATCATAATCTGCCTACCCACTTATTTACACGCCTCGCTGGGTATCGAGGTAGGACTATCTACTCCTAGATGAGCAGTGCGAAACCCCCTTCTGGGGGGCTGGCAGAACATGCTGGCACTGGGGTTTGAGCCCGGAACCTCATCCTTCGGAAGTGCCCATTCTACTGACTGGGCCACTTCACGATGGTCTCAAGAGCTGTAAAGGGTCGCGAGGAAAAGTGACGGTGGCTGCGAATGGTTGGTCCGGTCAGGCTTATTTTCTGTCCATGACAGGGAAATCGAGAGTCCACTTTAGTGGCTGGTTGAAAATCGTCCGCGTGGCACAAGAATCCCCTGACGGTCAGGGAAGCAAAAAGTTATTGCCAAGTTTACGCTATTTGCTTGTCCCCTCATGTCACCTCAGCGTCTACTCGAGACAAACGACACCGACTTTTTTCAGCGAGATTCCGTCGACAAAGGCGGGAGCTGCGGGCTTTCCTTGGTGAACGTTGGACTCCGAGATCTAGGAATCGTCGATTGTCGTCTCATCTGGAGCCGCAGAGTCGTCATGTCAGTTTGGAACCAGGCGTGTCGAAGTTCCTGGGACCCATACTTGTGCTCCCCAGCTCCTCCCCATCTGACCCTGTTTTTGGTGTAAATGAGCATTTGGGCGCCCTTAACGGTCACGGGCGCACCCCAAAGTGAAAACTTAAAATCCGGGCCTGTGAAGAGTTTGCACTTAGACGCTAAGGGAAAATTTGGGTGCTCCAAATCTGACTTGATCACTTTACAAATACGGGATGGCTAGAAAACACTAAGGGAAAAATCTACTCCTCTCGTGCAACCTAAGGAGAAAAGGGGGGGGGGGGGGGGGGGGGGGGGCACTTCAAGACGCTAAGGTAAAATTCGGGTGCTCCAAGCTGACTTCAACACTTTACAAACACAGGAGGGCTAGAAAACGTTAAGGGAAAAATCCACTCCTCTCGTGCAACCTAAGGAGAAAGGGGGGGGGGGGGGGGGACACTCAGACGCTAAGGGGAAATTCGGGTGCTCCAAGCTGGCTTAGACACTTTACAAACACAGGATTGGCTAGAAAACGCTAAGGGAAAATCCACTCCTCTCGTGCAACCTAAGGAGGAAAGGGGGGGGGGGGGGGGGGGCACTTAAGGGAAAATTCGGGTGCTCCAAGCTAACTTAGACGCTTTACAAACACAGATTGGCTAGAAAACGCCAAGGGAAAAATCCACTCCTCTCGTGCAACCTAAGGAGAAAGGGGGGTGGGGTCAGGCAGAATCGGGGGGGGGGAGGGTGGGTCCTACAACCAGAAGCCAAAACTTCGAGACAGGGGAAGGCCTGGTCTGGGCCCTTAACGCATCCGGGGAAGGGTCGAGCGATGCACTTAGTGGCACGGGTGCAGTGCGAATCAAACACTTTTGGAAGTCGAGCTGGAGCGAAAGTAGCCCGGAATGTTCAGGGCATTAAGGGCATATGCCCTTGAATCGACAGGCCTGTTTGGAACGCGGCAAGCCCAATGGCTTGAATTTGAAGCTGTTTTCCAGCCACCAGGAGCAAAGTGAATCCTAGCCATGGATACAGATTCTAGGCAAGCGGCCAGATGACGATTTGCGAAACGGCAGACCAAGTGTCAGCGCCCAGGTCACGAAATTTGTGGTAACTCTGTTTTGACCTATGCAGGCTGCGCATTGCTCTACCTGATGAGAGTAATGTGCCATCGATCGTCAAAAACCAATCGCCCACCACACTTAAAACCTGGTTGATATATTATCAAGTTTTTGAAACGTTTTCAACTCCGTAAACATTCGATCATGCGCACGATCGATCGTGCAAAAACGAAAGAGGTGACGTGTCATCAAAACAAGCCTTTTCGATGCAAGCACAATAAGAACACGTGACTGACTTGAATGAACTATGGCTGCGTTCTGCAGGCGCATCAGCTCTGATGCGTCTGAGGCTCGGCCTGATCCGCACGTTGAGAAATTGAGGTTCGGAAATTGCGATTTGGAGATTGAGAAATTGAGGTTCGGACTTTTGAAATTGAGGTTTGGAGAATCTGACGAAATTGAATTGAGGTCAGGAAATTGGACATTCAATTTCTTGACGAATTAAAAAATTGCGAATATTACTGGTCTCTTAAAAGCTTCTTCGTCGCCGAACTTCGGTTTGGCCAAACTGATTGGCCAATGAGGTTGCAGCGCATTAGCTGATGCGTGCATGATCCGAGTTTTCGAAGTCGCATGATGGCGCTGTTCTGTAGGCGTTGAATTACCAAAAACTGTGTCTGCAGAATCTTCGTTGATAAGTGGTCTTCTGCCTATCAAGGTTTGGTGATAAGAAAGGTCTTGCCGAACATGTTTGCGCCAAATTTAACGCATCAGCCTGCAGAACGCCACTTTTGGGGCGCACGAATTTAACCGTCTGCAGGTTCGAAGTTGTTGCTTCGCCGGGCAAATGGTCGCACAACTAGTGCGGTGCTAATTCTACCTCGGGAGCTAGCATCAGCCTCCGCACATTTTATGCGAGGCAGCAACATCCACGCAACGCAACCAGCATGAATGCGCCTAGAAAATGCACGGAAGGCTACCGCGGTCAAATTGGTGCGGAACCCTAAACGCCTGCAGAACAACGCTGATGCGCGCATCAATAATGCGCCAGCTTGCCAGGAGAGCAAGCTTCTTGGAAAGCGGACACATTACAAATTTCGTAAGCCAGAAAGGCCGTTCTGCAGGTATTCGGGTTTGTTTTGCTTCGGCAGCCATGCGCTTATCGCAAACCTTGATAACCTGTAGGTAGGTTATCGTGGAAAATTCCTGGAGCCATGGTATTGATGCGGGCTGATGCGCCTGCAGAACGAAGCCTACACTACGAAATTGCATTTTGCGTATGAGGTGAGCGATGGTTTCTTAGTTTCGCAGCCACCTATTTTGCTATGATGACCGCATTTGCAAACCACATACTCTTTTCGCCTGACATGAAGTTACGCCCTCGCATTGGCATCGTGGATGACGACATTCCAGGCTTTGCCGAAACCTCATGGAACTTGCTCATTCGTCACGGTTTGTGAACTTCGCTAGGCACCGCATCCGAACACAAAAAACCTGAATGCACCGCATGACTCCCATGTTCACTCGCCCTCAGCCTTCTTTCTCCACTCCACACATGTTCTTTTCCTGCCTTATCATGCGTGAGTAAGCAGGTTGCGGACTCCTCAGTCCTCACCTTTCCTCATTCTCAGTAATATTTCTGTCGCAATTTTTTCGAAGTAGGGCGAACCATCGGAAGCGAGTGCGGCATTCCGCCGGCAATACCAGCAGTCCGCGTAGCTTTCTTGGTCGCGCGCGCGGGGGGAGAGCCATGGGCGCGGGGAGGGAGGGCGAGCACCGCAAAGACGCGGTACCGTCGCTTCGCGCTTCGCCGTCAGCTGCGGATCTCGCGCGCGAGGTACGACGGACGGCAGGTCGGCAGGGACGGCAGCGGCGTGTCACGACTAATTTTGCAAGCACTAACACATTATTCACTTCAGTCACTACGTGTTTCATGGCCACTTTTGGATCTCGCGCGCGAGGTACGGACGGCGGGACGGCATGGAAGGCAGCAACGTGTCATGGCTTCTTCTGAAGCACTAGCGCATTATGCATTACCCATTCCAGTCACTACTTGTGTCGTGACCACCCTTGAATCTCCCTCGCGAGGTACGCACGGCAGGGATGGTAGCTAGCGGCGTGTTATGGCCACCTCAGGATTCAGTTGCCATAATCCGGTTCCCCTTCCCCTCTCTCCCCCTCTTCCCCCCCTTCTTCCCCCGCCCCAACCCCCTCATTCCCCCTTCCCCTCAGCTCTCCGCCTTCCCCTAGGACCCGATTCTTCCTCACTTGGTTTGTCAGACGTCTCAAAAATTCTCCCCCCGCCCCACCCCTCCATTCCCCCCATCTTTCCCCCGCCCCACTCCCCCCCCTGCCCCCCAGCTCTCTGTGTTCCCCCAGGATCTGATTCTCCCTCACTTGACAACGTCAGATTCCCAGAAACAGACAAGCGCTGCCGACCCTACACAGAAGCATGGGAAGAACGTTCAGAGTAGGACAAGCAACGCCAGCCCATGCAGGAAATTCTTTCTTCCTCGCCGCCCGCCGCCGCCCTCAGAGGTGCCTGAGGAGCTCCCCGTGCCGCCCATCTGTGCCTACATGGGACAAATTGCGCATCGGTACATCCGAGGAAGCTTCTTGGATGGTGCCTGTGGGGAGGTCCCGGGAAGCTGTGGAGCTGGAGAGAGGAGGCAGGAGGGGAAGGGGTGTGCGAGAGAGGAGGGAGAGAAGCAGCAGCAGCAGCAGCAATGCAGGAAAGGTCAACAGGGGGAGGAGAAGCAGGAGCAGCATGGGCAGCAGCAGCAGCATGAAGAGCAGAGAGAGGAAGAAGAGTCACCGCTGATACCACAGCAGCAGCAACAAGGCTCACTCTCCTCAGCGCCTCTCTTCGTCCCATGCGGGCGGGGGCGGTCCAAGCTGGCGGTGAAGCAGCAGGCGTCAGTGCTGACGAGGCTCAGCCACGGGTACAACTGGCTGCTCAGGGTGAGCCACGTGGACCCATGATTGATCCTGATTGGTTGATTAATGACACTTCCTGTCTTCCTCCTTTTGTGTCGTGTCGCGTCTCAACTGACCCGTCCTGACCCATTCCTCCGTTCCCCTGTCCCTCAACCCCACCTCTTTCTCCCAGCTCAACAACATGGCATTCGTGCTGTTCATAATGGCATCTCCTGTCGTGCTCGCGCTGCTCTTCACGCCACTCTCCCTCGCCCTCGCCCCCAGCTTCGCCTCCCCCCCCCCCCCCCGCCCCCCCTTACTCCCCTTTCCTCCCCCTTCCTCCCCCTTCCTCCCCCTTACTCCCCCAACCCCCACCCCACCAGCTGAACAACGTGGCATTCGTGCTGCTCATAATGGCAGCACCAGTCCTCCTCGCGCTCATCTTCACGCCGCTCTTCCTCACACTCGCCTCCGGCTTCGCCTTTCCCCCCGACAGCCCCGAGTTCGAATCCCTCCACATCCACACTATCCTCTCCGGCCCGCTCGCCCCGCCTCTCGACCAATGGGAGCGCGCCAGCAGGGCGGGACCGGCGGCGGTGGCGCTGTGCTGGGTGTGTGCTGCGCTCGTGCGTGCGGGGCAGCAGCTCTATGTGGTTCTGCACTTCTTCCTCTTCGCGTGAGTGCTCTCTCTTAGTGTGCGTGCGTGATAGGGTGCTTGCTTCTATCTCTGTTTATCGATGGGTGGGTGTGTGCTGCGCTTGTGCGTGTGGGGCAGCAGCTGTATGGGGCTCTGCATTTCTTCCTCTTCCTCCCTTGCCCCGTTTCTTCCTCCCCCTTCGCTTCGCATCCCCTTCTCTCCTTCTCCCCTTCCCCCCACCCCCCCAGCCTTTCCCTCTGCACCACGTGTGGAGGCTCGCCCCTGCAGGTGCTCTCTCCTTGCTCATCCCCTTCCTCCCTTCCCCCACCCTGTCTTCCATTTCTATTCCTTTTCTCCCACGTCCCCCCAGCCTCTCCCTCTGCACCACCTTCGGAGGTTCGCCCCTGCAGGTGCTCTCGCCCTCGGCACTCATGCTCGCCAACCTCCTCACGCTGCTCGCACAGCTCAACTTCGTCTTCCTCAGCGGTGCAGGTGGGTGCTTGCCGGTGGTTGCGTCTCTGCACTCTGCTTGCTCTGACCTCCTCACTCTGACCTCCTCACTCTGACCTCTTCACGCTGCTCTCACAGCTCAGCTGCATCTTCCTCAGCAGAGCTTGTCTCTGCACTTTCTCACTCTGTCACTCTTCTCGCTTCAACTCCCGTTCACTGCTTAGCACCCCCTTCTTCCTTTCTTCTGTGTCTTTTACTCTCCTCTCCCATGGCCAGTCTTTGCACGCATCGGCCGCCCAGCAGAGACGGTGCGGTGCTCTCGCTTCATCACGCTTGCCACTCAGCCCTTGACTGGCCATGGCACGGAGAAGAGAAGGTGAGGAAAGAGGGCCTCCTGAGAAGAGAAGGGGAGGAAAGAGGGCCTCCTTAGAAGAGAAGGTGAGGAAAGAGGGCCTCCTGAGAAGAGAAGGGGAGGAAAGAGGGCCTCCTGAGAAGAGAAGGTGAGGAAAGAGGGCCTCCTGAGAAGAGAAGGTGAGGAAAGAGGGCCTCCTGAGAAGAGAAGGGGAGGAAAGAGGGCCTCCTGAGGAGAGAAGGTGAGGAAAGAGGGCCTCCTGAGGAGAGAAGGTGAGGAAAGAGGGCCTCCTGAGGAGAGAAGGTGAGGAAAGAGGGCCTCCTGAGGAGAGAAGGGGAGGAGAGGAGGAGGAGCCCTCTTCTCAGGAGCCCCTCCCTCGACCATCCAATCCGCCACACCCTCGCTGCTTCCTTGCATAGACTCCCTCCCTCACCACTCCCCGCCTCTCACGCACGAACTGAAGGTTCTCACAGCCTGCCCTGGTTGGGCTAAACACACACCAGCTGGTGAACGTGTCTTCTCTACTCTCTTGCTCACATCACACACGGATCACAGGATTCTCACAGCATGCTTTGCCCTGGTGGGGCTGAACTCGCACGAGCTGGTGAACGTCCATTCTTAACTCGATTCAAAAAAATCCTTCAAACTATCCAGGATACTAAAATAATCCTTCAAAAAAATCCTTCACAAAAAAAAAAAACTTAACTCTCCGCTGCTCATGCAGGATACTCACGGCGCGGTTTGCCCTGGTGGGGCTGAACTCGCACGAGCTGGTGAACGTGAAGGTCGCCCTCTCGCTGCGCCTCTTCCTCCCCTCCCCCTCAGGGGTTGTGCACTGCTCCTTGCATGATCTCGAGCTTGTGAAATCCGATGTGAGTAGTGTTGCTCATCATGTCATCCCATGTCATTGCCCCTGCCTCTGCCTCTGCCTCACTCTCTCTACCCGCTCTTCCACCCTCTCACCCCCTCCGGGGAGGTGCATTGCTCCCTGCATGACCTGCAGCTTGTGAAATCCGATGTGAGTAGTGTTGCTGCCACTGGCCCTGCCAGGAGTTTTTTTGTAACTGGCCCTGCCTCTGCCTCACTTTCCTGACCTTCTCCGTTCCACCCTCTCAACCCCTCCTGAGAGGTGCTCTGCCTCACTCTGGTGACTAACATATGGTCCCACCCTTGCCCCATCTCTCCCAGCTGCCCTACATGCGTTTTGGCTTCAATATGCGGCACATAGCGGATGATTCCAGTCCCCTGCATGGCCTCTCTCTCAGCGACCTGCTGTCACACCTGCTGCACTCACTCACTTGTTACAATCACGCCCCTTACCATCCCGTTCCTCCCTCCCAGCTGCCCTACATGCGCTTTGGCTTCAATCTGCGCCACATAGTGGACGAATCGAGTCCCCTGCATGGCCTCTCTCTCAGCAACCTGCTGGCAGCAGATGCGTCTTTCTCTCTCACCATCTCCGGCCTTGAACGCACCACCATGCAACCTGTATTCGTGGTGAAGGTGAGTCAACGCAGTCAACGTGAGTCAATGGGAGTCAAGGCGAGTCCCTTGCACAGCCTCTCTCTCAGCGACCTGCTGGCAGCAGATGCTTCTTTCTCTCTCACCATCTCAGGTCTTGAACGCTCCTCCATGCAGCCAGTGTTTGTGGTCAAGGTGAGTCTAGGTGAGTCAATGCAGTCAAGGTGAGTCAACACATTCAAGGTGAGTCAATGCAGTCAAGGTGAGTCAACGTGGTCAAGGTGAGTCATCCCTCTCCTTTGCTGTTTCTTGCAGGAGTACTACGCCTACGATGGCGAGGTGCTGTGGGACTAGGAGCCTCTGGGCCTTGCCATCTGCCACTCAACCATTCTTCATGCTCCCTGCATCCCTCTTCACTCCTGTTCTATGCGAATTGCTGCTTTCTGCACTCTGCTTTTTCCTGCAGGAGTACTACGCCTACGATGGTGAGGTGCTGTGGGACTACAAGTTCCTCCACCTTCTCTGTGCGCCTTGCCATCTGCCTCTCAACCATTCTTTATGCCCCCTGCACTGCACCCCTCTTCACTCCTGTTCACTCCATGCTCTTCACACTGCTGTTTTCTGCACGCTGCTGCTGCACTGCAGGAGTACTATTGCGTACGAGGTGCTGTGGGACTACGAGTTCCTCCACCTCCTCTGTGCGACTTGTCATCTACCTCTCAACCATTCGTTATGCCCCCTGCACCCCACTCCACTCCTGCCCACTGTTGTTCACTGCAGGAGTACTATGCGTACGATGGCGAGGTGCTGTGGGACTATGAGTTCCTCGACCTCATACGCATCGCATCCGATCTCGTTCCCACTCTAGACCACTCCCGATTGGACGCCGTGACACCTGTCAACACTCACAGCTGATTTCGCACCTGTCAATAAGCACGGCTGATTCAGCAACTGTCAAATTGCACAATTCGGCTAAGCATTACGATTGGTAGCAGGCATAATCCTCCACCGTAAATCTGCGTATGGTTTGAACCCAGAATGTTTGTATATTTCTTCTTTTGATAATGGGTAAAAGCGATGGAATCTATAATGTCCGAATCGGATTATACGCGAATCCACTGCTCGATACCCGTTACAGGTGTTTAGTGGTACAGGTCACGTTCCATTCCTTCACACCTGTCATTTGTCCAGGCACCAGTCCGTGTGCCTTACGATCCAGCTAGAACCGCATTGCACCTAGAACGGCCACAAGGAGAAGGTGAGGGAGATGTACGGTTGGTAAGCGGGACAGGTCACAGCACAGAAGGGAGATGTACGGGAGGCATAACCCTTTCGAACCGCGCATTTGCTCGCACCCATCCCATTTCATGCCGAGTCGCAGAGGCCCTGTCCTACACTTGTCCATGTGGCGAAAGTGTTGTGTCTGCCAGAGCCGCTTCGCGAGCTTGTTCATCGATTGTGGCGACAAAGCAAAAGGGCTGGCAGGAGTTTCACGAACAGACACGAATTTTTCGTTCTTCACGGTATCCCGATATATTATGCATGAAATCTGATTCTTCCTCCCGCCACAGCTCTTGATCTAGCTCACCACCACAATTTCCCACACGGACATTCGAACACAACTATTCCAAATTCCACAATTTGTATGAACAGCGCAAGCCGCCAGCAGCCATTGGGAGATAAGCACCCGACCGGGTTCTTCCATGGGACCCCACCTGGGCGACGCGAATACCCGGTTATCCAAGTTCAAATACCAACGTGTGTGTCCACTCTCTCATCACTTGCTCGCTCCGCTCCAAGCATCTCCACGTCTCTACTCTAGTATTACTTGCTCACGTGCGAGTGGCCCTCCGAACCCATTCCTCTCAGAATAGCATACAGGCCATCCCACTTGTCTTCGCGCTGATAGCACCAACATGGCTGCAAGAATCGCTCTGATTCTGCTCGCCGCGCTCATGGCGTGCGTCTCTCGCGCCGCAACGGCCGCGAAGATCTCGCAGATGTACGTCTTCGGCGACGAGTCGGCGGACGTGGGCAACGCGAATTACTTCAACCGCGCGGCCGTGAAGGCCAACAAGCTGCCGTACGGCGTCAACTTCAAGCCCGCGTCGGGCCGCTTCTCCGACGGCAAGCTCGTCGTCGATTACCTCGGTACGACAATCGCGGAGGTAGTAGCGCCAACTTATTCGCTGCGCCAGGATTCTGTTTCTCTGCGCGAAACTGTCATGCTCAATCTTTCTCCGACGGCAAGCTCGTCGTCGACTACCTCGGTATGAATCCGCGCAGAAATTCCGTTGTGCTCGGTACTACCGACTCGGAACTACAAGGCCGTGCTCGATCATTTTCTCCGTTAACCGCGAGTCGAGTATTGTATCTTCGTGTTTTTTAAGCATTTTCGACATGGTTTTTCTCCTCTCCCCCTCTCTCTTGCCTTCCAACAGCCGACTTCCTCGCGATTCCCTCGCCGCGCGCCGATCTCGCGCCCCGCAATGCGTCGCTTCCTTTCAGTGGCCTCGACTTCGCCATGGCTGCTGCTGGCGCGAAATCCGGCACTAACGGCGGAAAGGTAACTTCATCATTCTTAAACCGTTCTTCCGTATCGCATCTCTACAGTTCGTAACCTTGCAATTGTAAGCCCGCGGCATCGTGAATCACACTCTTCTTATACTCTTCTCGCGTCATGACGCTGGACTGTCTTGTGTGTGGCTTCGCTGTCGCTGCCTCCTCACTGCAGACGCGCGGGCTGCAGCAGCAGTTCAACGAGTTCAAGAAGTGGTTCAACGAGGCCAAGCGCACCAACAACCCCGACCTCGTACGCCCTCGCCTTTCTTCTCTCTTCCAGCTTCCCGTCTGTTTCCTTTTCCATTTTCCTTTCCAACTTGGAATCTCCTTGCCGTTTTCCCTTTTACTCTCCGTTTCCGTTTCTTTTCGAGTCTTCATTCCTTCTGAACCCCTCCCATTTCATTATTTTGCTCCACAGAAGCTGGACGAGGCTCTGTTCGTGGTGAGCATCGGTGCCAACGACTACATTCCTGAGCTCAGCCGTACGCAGCCCAACATGACCACCCTCGTCGCCCTCGCCTCCTCGGTATCCAACACCATTATCAACATCACTCAGTCTCTCTACAACCTCACCGGCTCCTCCAAAGTTCTTATTATTGATCTGCCAAATCTCGGATGCGCTCCTGTCGTGCGCCTTGCGGCGAAATCCGGAATCAACTGCACGGACGCTGGTAACCAGATTACCATTATCCACAACTTCGCGCTGCTGACGAAGACGGACAAGCTGAGGAACAACCCTGCCCTGCCCATGCCGAACCTGGTGCTCTTCAAGCAATCAGCCGTCTTCAAGACCATGATCCAAGTCCCCACCTCTGGTAAGACCCCTAATTCCCTACCTCTGGTGAGGCACCTCATTCCCTACCCGTTCCCCACCTCCTGTACTAGCCCCACCCCCGAGTTGTCCCGCTCTCCCTGCCCCTTCCTCCTCTCACTTGCTCTTTCCCTTCCCCTCTCCCTAGCTCTCTCCCTTCCCCCCTCGCTCCTCGCTTTTCCAATCCTCTCCACTAAAGCCCCACCTCACAATCCTTTCCCCTTCGGTTTCCCCCTCCAGGGCTGACGAATCAGACGCACCCGTGCTGCCAGGCGGTAACAAGCACGGGGGTGGTCGTGGCGTGTGCGCAGACCAGCGGGAATGGCAAGGCAGCAGTCACAGGAGGGGCGTGTGCGGCGCCGGCCAAGGCCGTGTGGTGGGACGATCACAACCCCACGCAGGCCGTCAACCAGAAGGTCGCCAACACCCTCTTCTTCTCCACCAACCCTGCCATGGTCCGCCCCAACGGCCTCCGCAAGTTCTTCTCACTCTAGAGCCGCCGCTTGGAGGCTACTTTTACCGTATTTGGTGGGATGAGTATCCGCAAGTTCTTCTCACTCAAAGGATTAAGGGATGCAGATTCGACAGACTTTGGCCGAGCAGCTGGGGGGGTTCTTTCCGCATGAACTCTTCTTTTTTTGCTGTGGGATGAGTGTAGATGGGATCTTCTAGAGCTGTGCTCCTCTGCACTTGGGTGGCTGGCTGGGCCTGTGGGCCTCTTTGTCACCTGGTGAATAAAGACCAGAGTACCGCATTTATCTGGCAAGGACACAGGCTGCCGCTGGCATGTACCGTTATAATTTGTTTATTCATTCCACATCAATTTGTTCTGAAGTGATTTGTTCTAACAAGCAAACTCCTGTTCTAGTGCAACGAATCTGTCCATCTCCTAAACGAATCAACCATACTACGGTACTCCAGGGCTAAAAGAAGCAAGGAGAGACCCAACAACACCCTGCTCCACTTGCCGGGCAGAGGACCCTGGCCTTGAAAGGATCTCATCCTCGTCCCTACTGAGCTACACTGTTCTGCTCCAGGATTTGCGGATCTAGGCGTTGTTGGCATTGCAAGCCATTGATTTTGAGGGATCAAGTCAAGTCCGTCTCTAACCATTGACTGACACACTACAAGTCAGTGGTTAGCCATAACTGCAGGTTATGCAATGGCACTGCATACTTGCTATTGCTGCCCTACCAGCCACCTTTCCCCCTCTTCATGCTCTCCTACCAGTGTTGCAAAGCAAGCAGATTCCATCTGTTGGGACTGCTAAAGACATGTTCTCCCAGTCTTAAAGAGTTGTCGAAAAAAGGCACACTGCTCTCACAAGTTTTGGGCGCCTAGCACAGCACCGTACATTCCTGAGAATTCTCATAAGGTATTGCTAAGTCGGCTCGAGTGGATGCACCACACTGCACCACCCTGAACCCTACATTGATCATGCTCCTCTTCCCCTCAAGTACCAGGATTGTGTAAGAGCACCAAACGGTGCCAAGGAGTGCTGTGACGAAGAGACTTAGCGAACGATTCAAAGTTGTGAGTGACGAGGAAGTTGGAGTCAGGAGCCGTCCGAGTTAGGGCCAGTGAGGTGGAGAGGAGTGAAGGGAGGTGAAGAGAGGTGAAGAGGAAGTTAGTCAGGAGTCGTCAGAGTCAGGGCCCGTGTTGAAGGTCTTGATGAGATGCTTGAGTTCATCGCGCACTGCGGTGTAGCAGAAGCGATACTGCTCCTGTTGGACGATGAGAGATGTGGAGAGGAGTGAAGGGAGGTGAAATGAGGTGGTGAAGGTTCTGATGAGATACTTGTATCACATCCTCCTTTGCCCCAATAACACACCCAACTTGGTCTGCTCTAAAACCGCACCTTGGTCTGCACCCGCTGCTGTCGCAGCAACACAGCAGCACAGTGGCAGCCATATCGAGCGCCGAGAGACCTTTGAGACGACTAAGAGAGCTCAAAATGTCACCTTGCCTGGGGCCCTAATACCACACATACCTTGGTCTGCATGCACCATGCCGGCCCGCTGCTGCCGGAGCAGCAGCACCTTGGCAGCCATGTTGAGAGCCGAAAGAACTTTGAGTCGACTAAGAGAGCTCAAAATGTCACCGTGGCCGCAATGGTGAGAGCCTGAAGGACCCCCTGCAGCACCTAGGTTTCTTGTACTTGAATCACACCTTTCTCTTCCCTGACATCCCAACAGCGTACCTTGGTCTGCACCATGCCGGCCCGCTGCTGCCGCAGCAGCAGCACCGTTGCAGCCATGTTGAGAGCTGAGAGGTCCCCCTGTAGCACACGCCGCACTGCATGGTCCACCACACAGTAGGCTCCTGTGCGCCCGATGCCCACACTGTGAGAGAGGGAGTGAGTGGGAGTGAGAAGGAGATGGGAAGTGAGAAGGGGTTTGAGGCAGTGTGGTAAGCTTGCAGTTGAAGGGGGCGTGATGTGAACCTCCCTGCAGCACACACCGCACTGCATGGTCTACCACACAGTAGGCTCCTGTGCGCCCGATGCCCGCACTGCAAGCGAGGAGCGAGAAATATTGTGAGAAAGTTTGGGGAAGAGAGCCAGAGATAGTGAGAGAGGCAGAGAAGATGCGTGCATGCATGGTCCACCACATAGTAGGCCCCTTCAACAGTTGAAGGGAGGGTGCGTAGCAGAGCAGGTGCAGCCTTTGAGGCGCCTCAATCAAAGGGAGCGTCAAAAGGAAGGGTACAGACAGAGCAAGGGTACAGACAGAGCAAGGGTACATACAGAGCAAGGGTACAGACACAGCAAGGGTACAGACAGAGAAAGGGTACAGACAGAGCAAGGGTACAGACAGAGCAAGGGTACAGACAGAGCAAGGGTACAGACAGAGCAAGGGTACAGACAGAGCAAGGGTACAGACAAAGCAAGGATACAGACAGAGCAAGGGTACAGACAGAGCAAGGGTACAGACAGAGCAAGGGTACAGACAGAGCAAGGGTACAGACAGAGCAAGGGTACAGACAAAGCAAGGATACAGACAGAGCAAGGGTACAGACAGAGCAAGGGTACAGACAGAGCAAGGGTACAGACAGAGCAAGGGTACAGACAGAGCAAGGCACGGAGAAGAGAAGGTGAGGAAAGAGGGCCTCCTGAGAAGAGAAGGTGAGGAGAGGAGGAGCCCTCTTCTCAGGAGCCCCTCCCTCGACCATCCAATCCGCCACACCCTCGCTGCTTCCTTGCATATACTCCCTCCCTCACCACTCCCCGCCTCTCACGCACGAATTGAACGTTCTCATAGCCTGCCCTGGTTGGGGTAAACACACACCAGCTGGTGAACGTGTCTTCTCTACTCTCTTGCTCACATCACACTCGGATCACAGGATTCTCACAGCATGCTTTGCCCTGGTGGGACTGAACTCGCGCGAGGTGGTGAACGTCCATTCTTAACTCGATTAAAAAAAATCCTTCAAACTATCCAGGATACTAAAATAATCCTTCAAAAAAATCCTTCACAAAAAAAAAAAAACTTAACTCTCCGCTGCTCATGCAGGATACTCACGGCGCGGTTTGCCCTGGTGGGGCTGAACTCGCACGAGCTGGTGAACGTGAAGGTCGCCCTCTCGCTGCGCCTCTTCCTCCCCTCCCCCTCAGGGGTTGTGCACTGCTCCTTGCATGATCTCGAGCTTGTGAAATTCGATGTGAGTAGTGTTGGTCATCATGTCATCCCATGTCATTGCCCCTGCCTCTGCCTCTGCCCCACTCTCTCTACCCGCTCTTCCACCCTCTCACCCCCTCCGGGGAGGTGCATTGCTCCCTGCATGACCTGCAGCTTGTGAAATCCGATGCGAGTAGTGTTGCTGCCACTGGCCCTGCCAGGAGTTTTTTTGTAACTGGCCCTGCCATAAGTTTTTTTGTAACTGGCCCTGCCAGGAGTTTTTTTGTAACTGGCCCTACCAGGAGTTTTTTTGTAACTGGCCCTGCCAGGAGTTTTTTTGTAACTGGCCCTGCCAGGAGTTTTTTTGTAACTGGCCCTGCCAGGAGTTTTTTTGTAACTGGCCCTGCCAGGAGTTTTTTTGTAACTGGCCCTGCCAGGAGTTTTTTTGTAACTGGCCCTGCCAGGAGTTTTTTTGTAACTGGCCCTGCCAGGAGTTTTTTTGTAACTGGCCCTGCCAGGAGTTTTTTTGTAACTGGCCCTGCCTCTGCCTCACTTTCTTGACCTTCTCCGTTCCACCCTCTCAACCCCTCCTGAGAGGTGCTCTGCCTCACTCTGGTGACTAGCATATGGTCCCACCCTTGCCCCATCTCTCCCAGCTGCCCTACATGCGTTTTGGCTTCAATATGCGGCACATAGTGGGTGATTCCAGTCCCCTGCATGGCCCCTCTCTCAGCGACCTGCTGTCACACCTGCTGCATTCACTCACTTGTTACAATCACGCCCCTTACCATCCCGTTCCTCCCTCCCAGCTGCCCTACATGCGCTTTGGCTTCAATCTGCGCCACATAGTGGGTGATTCCAGTCCCCTGCACGGCCTCTCTCTCAGCAACCTGCTGGCAGCAGATGCGTCTTTCTCTCTCACCATCTCCGGCCTTGAACGCACCACCATGCAACCTGTATTCGTGGTGAAGGTGAGTCAATGCAGTCAACGTGAGTCAATGGGAGTCAAGGCGAGTCCCTTGCACAGCCTCTCTCTCAGCGACCTGCTGGCAGCAGATGCTTCTTTCTCTCTCACCATCTCAGGTCTTGAACGCTCCTCCAGGCAGCCAGTGTTTGTGGTCAAGGTGAGTCAATGCAGTCAAGGTGAGTCAACACATTCAAGGTGAGTCAATGCAGTCAAGGTGAGTCAACGTGGTCAAGGTGAGTCACCCCTCTCCTCTGCTGTTTCTTGCAGGAGTACTACGCCTACGATGGCGAGGTGCTGAGGGACTAGGAGCCTTTGGGCCTTGCCATCTGCCACTCAACCATTCTTCATGCTCCCTGCATCCCTCTTCACTCCTGTTCTCTGCGAATTGCTGCTTTCTGCACTCTGCTTTTTCCTGCAGGAGTACTACGCCTACGATGGTGAGGTGCTGTGGGACTACAAGTTCCTCCACCTTCTCTGTGCGCCTTGCCACCTGCCTCTCAACCATTCTTTATGCCCCCTGCACTGCACCCCTCTTCACTCCTGTTCACTCCATGCTCTTCACACTGCTGTTTTCTGCACGCTGCTGCTGCACTGCAGGAGTACTATTGCGTACGAGGTGCTGTGGGACTACGAGTTCCTCCACCTCCTCTGTGCGACTTGTCATCTACCTCTCAACCATTCGTTATGCCCCCTGCACCCCACTCCACTCCTGCCCACTGTTGTTCACTGCAGGAGTACTATGCGTACGATGGTGAGGTGCTGTGGGACTATGAGTTCCTCGACCTCATACGCATCGCATCCGATCTCGTTCCCACTCTAGACCACTCCCGATTGGACGCCGTGACACCTGTCAACACTCACAGCTGATTTCGCACCTGTCAATAAGCACGGCTGATTCAGCAACTGTCAAATTGCACAATTCGGCTAAGCATTACGATTGGTAGCAGGCATAATCCTCCACCGTAAATCTGCGTATGGTTTGAACCCAGAATGTTTGTATATTTCTTCTTTTGATAATGGGTAAAAGCGATGGAATCTATAATGTCCGAATCAGATTATACGCGAATCCACTGCTCGATACCCGTTACAGGTGCTAGTGGTACAGGTCACGTTCCATTCCTTCACACCTGTCATATGTCCAGGCACCAGTCCGTGTGCCTTACGATCCAATTAGAACCGCATTGCACCTAGAGCGGCCACAAGGAGAAGGTGAGGGAGATGTACGGTTGGTAATCGGGACAGATCACAGCACAGCAGGGAGATGCACGAGAGGCATAACCCTTTCGAACCGCGCATTTGCTCGCACCCATCCCATTTCATGCCGAGTCGCAGAGGCCCTGTCCCACACTTGTCCATGTGGCGAAAGTGTTGTGTCTGCCAGAGCCGCTTCGCGAGCTTGTTCATCGATTGTGGCGACAAAGCAAAGGGCTGGCAGGAGTTTCACGAACAGACACGAATTTTTCGTTCTTCACGGTATCCCGATATATTTTGCATGAAATCTGATTCTTCCTCCCGCCACAGCTCTTGATCTAGCTCACCACCACGATTCCAACACGGACATTCGAACACTATTCCAAATTCCACAATTTGTATGAACAGCGCAAGCCGCCAGCAGCCATTGGGAGATAAGCACCCGACCGGGTTCTTCCATGGGACCCCACCTGGGCGACGCGAATACCCGGTTATCCAAGTTCAAATACCAACGTGTGTGTCCACTCTCTCATCACTTGCTCGCTCCGCTCCAAGCATCTCCACGTCTCTACTCTAGTATTACTTGCTCACGTGCGAGTGGCCCTCCGAACCCATTCCTCTCAGAATAGCATACAGGCCATCCCACTTGTCTTCGCGCTGATAGCACCAACATGGCTGCAAGAATCGCTCTGATTCTGCTCGCCGCGCTCATGGCGTGCGTCTCTCGCGCCGCAACGGCCGCGAAGATCTCGCAGATGTACGTCTTCGGCGACGAGTCGGCGGACGTGGGCAACGCGAATTACTTCAACCGCGCGGCCGTGAAGGCCAACAAGCTGCCGTACGGCGTCAACTTCAAGCCCGCGTCGGGCCGCTTCTCCGACGGCAAGCTCGTCGTCGATTACCTCGGTACGACAATCGCGGAGGTAGTAGCGCCAACTTATTCGCTGCGCCAGGATTCTGTTTCTCTGCGCGAAACTGTCATGCTCAATCTTTCTCCGACGGCAAGCTCGTCGTCGACTACCTCGGTATGAATCCGCGCAGAAATTCCGTTGTGCTCGGTACTACCGACTCGGAACTACAAGGCCGTGCTCGATCATTTTCTCCGTTAACCGCGAGTCGAGTATTGTATCTTCGTGTTTTTTAAGCATTTTCGACATGGTTTTTCTCCTCTCCCCCTCTCTCTTGCCTTCCAACAGCCGACTTCCTCGCGATTCCCTCGCCGCGCGCCGATCTCGCGCCCCGCAATGCGTCGCTTCCTTTCAGTGGCCTCGACTTCGCCATGGCTGCTGCTGGCGCGAAATCCGGCACTAACGGCGGAAAGGTAACTTCATCATTCTTAAACCGTTCTTCCGTATCGCATCTCTACAGTTCGTAACCTTGCAATTGTAAGCCCGCGGCATCGTGAATCACACTCTTCTTATACTCTTCTCGCGTCATGACGCTGGACTGTCTTGTGTGTGGCTTCGCTGTCGCTGCCTCCTCACTGCAGACGCGCGGGCTGCAGCAGCAGTTCAACGAGTTCAAGAAGTGGTTCAACGAGGCCAAGCGCACCAACAACCCCGACCTCGTACGCCCTCGCCTTTCTTCTCTCTTCCAGCTTCCCGTCTGTTTCCTTTTCCATTTTCCTTTCCAACTTGGAATCTCCTTGCCGTTTTCCCTTTTACTCTCCGTTTCCGTTTCTTTTCGAGTCTTCATTCCTTCTGAACCCCTCCCATTTCATTATTTTGCTCCACAGAAGCTGGACGAGGCTCTGTTCGTGGTGAGCATCGGTGCCAACGACTACATTCCTGAGCTCAGCCGTACGCAGCCCAACATGACCACCCTCGTCGCCCTCGCCTCCTCGGTATCCAACACCATTATCAACATCACTCAGTCTCTCTACAACCTCACCGGCTCCTCCAAAGTTCTTATTATTGATCTGCCAAATCTCGGATGCGCTCCTGTCGTGCGCCTTGCGGCGAAATCCGGAATCAACTGCACGGACGCTGGTAACCAGATTACCATTATCCACAACTTCGCGCTGCTGACGAAGACGGACAAGCTGAGGAACAACCCTGCCCTGCCCATGCCGAACCTGGTGCTCTTCAAGCAATCAGCCGTCTTCAAGACCATGATCCAAGTCCCCACCTCTGGTAAGACCCCTAATTCCCTACCTCTGGTGAGGCACCTCATTCCCTACCCGTTCCCCACCTCCTGTACTAGCCCCACCCCCGAGTTGTCCCGCTCTCCCTGCCCCTTCCTCCTCTCACTTGCTCTTTCCCTTCCCCTCTCCCTAGCTCTCTCCCTTCCCCCCTCGCTCCTCGCTTTTCCAATCCTCTCCACTAAAGCCCCACCTCACAATCCTTTCCCCTTCGGTTTCCCCCTCCAGGGCTGACGAATCAGACGCACCCGTGCTGCCAGGCGGTAACAAGCACGGGGGTGGTCGTGGCGTGTGCGCAGACCAGCGGGAATGGCAAGGCAGCAGTCACAGGAGGGGCGTGTGCGGCGCCGGCCAAGGCCGTGTGGTGGGACGATCACAACCCCACGCAGGCCGTCAACCAGAAGGTCGCCAACACCCTCTTCTTCTCCACCAACCCTGCCATGGTCCGCCCCAACGGCCTCCGCAAGTTCTTCTCACTCTAGAGCCGCCGCTTGGAGGCTACTTTTACCGTATTTGGTGGGATGAGTATCCGCAAGTTCTTCTCACTCAAAGGATTAAGGGATGCAGATTCGACAGACTTTGGCCGAGCAGCTGGGGGGGTTCTTTCCGCATGAACTCTTCTTTTTTTGCTGTGGGATGAGTGTAGATGGGATCTTCTAGAGCTGTGCTCCTCTGCACTTGGGTGGCTGGCTGGGCCTGTGGGCCTCTTTGTCACCTGGTGAATAAGGACCAGAGTACCGCATTTATCTGGCAAGGACACAGGCTGCCGCTGGCATGTACCGGTGCGATTTGTTTATTCATTCCACATCAATTTGTTATGAAGTGATTTGTTCTAACAAGCAAACTCCTGTTCTAGTGCAACGAATCTGTCCATCTCCTAAACGAATCAACCATAATACGGTACTCCAGGGCTAAAAGAAGCAAGGAGAGACCCAACAACACCCTGCTCCACTTGCCGGGCAGAGGACCCTGGCCTTGTGAAGGATCTCATCCTCGTCCCCACTGAGCTACACTGTTCTGCTCCAGAATTTGCGGATTTAGGCGTTGTTGGCATTGCAAGCCATTGATTTTGAGGGATCAAGTCAAGTCCGTCTCTAACCATTGACTGACACACTACAAGTCAGTGGTTAGCCATAACTGCAGGTTATGCAATGGCACTGCATACTTACTATTGCTGCCCTACCAGCCACCTTTCCCCCTCTTCATGCTCTCCTACCACCTATCACAGTGTTGCAAAGCAAGTAGATTCCATCTGTTGGGACTGCTAAAGACATGTTCTCCCAGTCTTAAAGAGTTGTCGAAAAAAGGCACACTGCTCTCACAAGTTTTGGGCGCCTAGCACAGCACCGTACATTCCTGAGAATTCTCATAAGGTATTGCTAAGTCGGCTCGAGTGGATGCACTACACTGCACCACCCTGAACCCTACATTGATCATGCTCCTCTTCCCCTCAAGGAGTACCAGGATTGTGTAAGAGCACCAAACGGTGCCAAGGAGTGCTGTGACGAAGAGACTTAGCGAACGATTCAAAGTTGTGAGTGACGAGGAAGTTGGAGTCAGGAGCCGTCCGAGTTAGGGCCAGTGAGGTGGAGAGGAGTGAAGGGAGGTGAAGAGAGGTGAAGAGGAAGTTAGTCAGGAGTCGTCAGAGTCAGGGCCCGTGTTGAAGGTCTTGATGAGATGCTTGAGTTCATCGCGCACTGCGGTGTAGCAGAAGCGATACTGCTCCTGTTGGACGATGAGAGAGATGTGGAGAGGAGTGAAGGGAGGTGAAATGAGGTGGTGAAGGTTCTGATGAGATACTTGTATCACATCCTCCTTTGCCCCAATAACACACCCAACTTGGTCTGCTCTAAACCCGCACCTTGGTCTGCACCCGCTGCTGTCGCAGCAACACAGCAGCACAGTGGCAGCCATATCGAGCGCCGAGAGACCTTTGAGTCGACTAAGAGAGCTCAAAATGTCACCTTGCCTGGGGCCCTAATACCACACATACCTTGGTCTGCATGCACCATGCCGGCCCGCTGCAGCCGGAGCAGCAGCACCTTGGAAGCCATGTTGAGAGCCGAAAGAACTTTGAGTCGACTAAGAGAGCTCAAAATGTCACCGTGGCCGCAATGGTGAGAGCCTGAAGGACCCCCTGCAGCACCTAGGTTTCTTGTACTTGAATCACACCTTTCTCTTCCCTGACATCCCAACAGCGTACCTTGGTCTGCACCATGCCGGCCCGCTGCTGCCGCAGCAGCAGCACCGTTGCAGCCATGTTGAGAGCTGAGAGGTCCCCCTGCAGCACACGCCGCACTGCATGGTCCACCACACAGTAGGCTCCTGTGCGCCCGATGCCCGCACTGTGAGAGAGGGAGTGAGTGGGAGTGAGAAGGAGATGGGAAGGGAGAAGGGGTTTGAGGCAGTGTGGTAAGCTTGCAGTTGAAGGGGGCGTGATGTGAACCTCCCTGCAGCACACACCGCACTGCATGGTCTACCACACAGTAGGCTCCTGTGCGCCCGATGCCCGCACTGCAAGCGAGGAGCGAGAAATATTGTGAGAAAGTTTGGGAAAGAAAGCCAGAGATAGTGAGAGAGGCAGAGATAGTGAGAGAGGCAGAGAAGATGCGTGCATGCATGGTCCACCACATAGTAGGCCCCTTCAACAGTTGAAGGGAGGGTGCGTAGCAGAGCAGGTGCAGCCTTTGAGGCGCCTCAATCAAAGGGAGCGTCAAAAGGAAGGGTACAGACAGAGCAAGGTTACAGACAGAGCAAGGCAGGTGCAACTTGAAGTGGAAGACAGACTTGTCAAAGTGAAGTGGACGAGGGCAAATCTCTGAAAAAGCGGATGTCACTTTGACACACAACACAACACTACCTGCAGTGCCTGCCGCTCACATGCAGTGGATGTCGAACGGCCCACTGGACAAGGGCGAGTCATTCAGCGAGCGGGTGAGGTAGCTCTTGAGGGCCAATGGAAAAAAAAAAAAAAAAATGGTGGCAGCTCACCTGCAGTGGATGACGAACGGTCCACTGGATGAGGGCGAGTCTCTGAGGGAGCGGATGAGATCCCGAATGGACTCTGTGCTTCTGGGCACCCCGTGGTCGGGCCAGTCTAGGTAGTGCAGATGCAGCAGCGAGAGGGGCGCGCCTGGTGTCTGGGAAGCACAGCAAACGCAGGGCAAGGAGGATGGGAAGGATCAAACTCATACGTGGCAAGGAGGGGGGGGAGGAGGAGGAGGAGGAGGAGGAGGAGGAGGAGGAGGAGGAGGAGGAGGAGGAGGAGGAGGAGGAGGAGGAGGAGGAGGAGGAGGAGGAGGAGGAGGACAGGAGGAGAACGAGCTCATGTATTAACCGATGCCATGCTCGAATCAAACTCACCCCTCCTGACCGTACTGGTGTGGTGGTTGCTCACTCACCATCTCATTCCATGATTCCTCACTCACCGACTCGTTGGTGATGGTGAGTTGGCGCTGCAGTGTGCCGCCATCACTCATCTCCACTGTCCCCTCGTTGCTCACGCGCATGTGCCCGTACGCTTCGCTTGCACCCGCCTTGGATGGGAAGTAGTGCGCACACTTGATCTGGTGCGGGAGGAGAGGGAGGAGATCGAGGAGAGGTGAAAGACGCGAAGGGGAGAAAGAGGGAGGAGAGGCATGACTGGCTAAGGCCTCGTTGCTCACGCGCATGTGCCCATGTACCTCACATGCACCCGCCTTGGATGGGAAGTAGTGCGCAGACTTGATCTGGTCCGGGGAGGGAGCGGTGGCGGGTGCGGGAGGAGAGGGAGGAGAGGGAGGAGAGGGAGGAGAGGGAGGAGAGGGAGGAGAGGGAGGAGAGGGAGGAGAGGGAGGAGAGGGAGGAGAGGGAGGAGAGGGAGGAGAGGGAGGAGAGGGAGGAGAGGGAGGAGAGGGAGGAGAGGGAAGAGGGAGGAGAGGGAGGGGAGGGAAAATTGACAAACTCAGGCTTCATGGCACGCGTGTTTGTGTACATGCACACATGGAGGAGAGCATGTGAGCACTCACTCACTGACTTGGGGGTCGGGACCCCTCCACCTCTCTGGTGCACTCGATGGCCACATCAGCACACTGCTCTGCTCCCACACCATGCCATGTCACAACTGCAGCCCATGTCACAACTGCAGCCCATGTCACAACTGCAGCCCATGTCACATCACAGACCCCCTCACCCTCGTGCACACACCTAAAAGAGCATAGTGCAGTGCACTCACCCTTGACCCCTCCACCTCCCGTGTGAGCATGATGACAGCAGCGGCGCGCTGCTCCCACACCATGTGCCAGAAGGCTGCTGCAGTGTCGTCCAGAGGGCCCTGGGCCGCTATGTACCGAGGCATGTGTGCCTCCGACGGGTTCTGCGGTGTGGTGCAGTGCGGTGGGGAGTGGTGGGGTGGGGTGGGGTGGGGTGCAAAGCTACCTAGGTGATGATTGAGTCAGCTTGCTCCCACACCATGTGCCAGAAGGCCGCTGCAGTGTCATCCAGCGGACCCTGCGCCGCTATGTACAGCGGCATGTGTGCCTCCGACGGGTCCTGGGGTGTGGTGCAGTGCAGTGTGGTGTGGTGTGGTGAGGTGGGGTGGGGTGGGGTTGGGTGGGAGGGGTGCACAGCTATGGAGGTGAAGATTGAGTCAGCGTGGGCCCTGCGCTGCTATGTACCACGGCATTTGTGGGTCCAACGGGTCCTGTGGAGTAGTGTGGTGTGGTGGGGTGGGGTGGGGTGGGGTGGCAACGAGGTGATTCTTTAGTCAGCTTCAGCCCTGAGCTGCTAAGTACCCTGGCACAGGGGGTTCTGGCACGTGGTGGTTCTCGCACGGGGGGGTTCCGGCACGTGGTGGTTCTCGCACGGGGGGGTTCCGGCACGTGGTGGTTCTCACACGGGGGGGTTCCGGCACGTGGTGGTTCTCGCACGGGGGGGTTCTGGCACGTGGTGGTTCTCGCACGGGGGGGTTCCGGCACGTGGTGGTTCCGGCACGTGGTGGGGGTCAAAAGGGAAGAGAATCGTTGACTCAGAAGAAACAAGGAAGTACAGGAGTCAGCGCAGGGGGTTCTATCATAAGCCGCTGGGCAGGGAGTGACTATGTCATACCGTGACTATATGCGACGCGTTGATGTAATCTGAGCCGTCCGATTGTGTTCCGCTCTGGCCCCCCAAAAGGACCCGGCTGTTTTCATCTGAGGGGCAGGCAGGCAGGCGGGCATAAGGAAAGAAAGAAGGGCGCGAGCGTGTTGAAGGAAGGAAGCGAGCCGCTGGAATGTCACTAAGGTAGCCTCTGTCCACGCGAGAGCATGAGTAAAAAGGCATCATGCCACTAAGGTAGCTCTTTTATGAAAACTTTATAAAAAGAAGCTGTTTAAGATTGAACTCCAGAGCATGAGTTACACGGCAGCATGCCCGTAATGTGGCTCTCTTTCGGGTTGATTTTTAAACCAACGCGACTCTTTCAACTCCGCTACCAGGGCGTGAATCACGCGGTTCTTTGGGCGGTTGACTGGCAGCATCGCTGATGTCGCTCCTGTCTGCTCTGATGAAAGCACTTTCGAGATTTCTCAAAAGAGATTTCGGCATGACTCACAAGGGAGCACGTCAATGTAGCGGTTCTTGGGGCGGTTGACTGGCAGCATCGCCGAGGTCGCTTCCTGCCTGCTCTCCCCCGAGGCTCTCGCCTGCGCCTGGTCATTCATGCACGCATGCACACGCAGGGACATCCGCACAGCGCGATGGTACGTAGCATGAAGGGTTTGTTAAGTTTTCTTTGTAGCAAAGACTCAGTTGCGTGGCACTGAGTGCTGCTTGGCCTCGCAAGAGGCTCTGGCCCGGGCCTGACCATTCATGCGTCTGAGAGTGTAGAGGTGCGGGGGATGAAACGCGTTGCGATGCAACGGAACGCGATGCAAGGGGATGCATTGCGGTGCAACGGGCTGTGATCCAACGAAGCGCCACTCACCTGCAGCCCTTCGAACTCCTCCACGAATCTTTGCTTCCCAGTCATATTCGATACAGCGTCAAGCTTTGAGACGTCTCAAGATCAGCGTTATAGTAATCTACTTTTGAGAGGTCTCAAAGCTTACCCGCAGCCCTTCGAACTCCTCCACGAATCTTTGCTTCCCAGTCACATTCGATACAGCGTCAAGCTCGCGTATCCGTTTCTTCAGCTGCTTCAACGCCTCCTCGCACCATCCCAACCGCTCCTCAGACATCTCCCACCCTCCCCACTCTCCCTTCGCCTCTCCCCCTGCTCCTACCGCTAATCCTCTCTCCTCTCCCTCTCCCTCTCCCTGGACCTCGTCCGCTGCTCCACCCTTTATCCTTCCATCCGCTGCAGCGCTACCCGCGTCTGTGCGCTCATCGACTATCCCCTCCTTGCTCTTCTCAAGAGACTCGTTATAAGGCAGCCCCAGACCCCCCAGCGGTTCTCGTTCCGCGATAGTCGGTTCCGCGACACGTGGCGCAGCGACGTCGTCCTTATCGCCGGAGATAGGTCCGGAGAACGAGTGTCGGACCGTAGGCGGCCGAACCCCGGAATCCACGGAACCTGAGACGCTCCTGCGGTTCGGGTTAGCAAAACGGTCGGGGCTCATGGCCAGGCAGTCGTCGTCTTCTCCGAGCGGATCTCTGCCGTCGCTCGTGGAGTCGTCGGCCGGCGCGCGGCGAGCGCTGCGACTACCCGAGTGACTACGAAAGTTGTGCCCTAAACGGGAGGCGATGCCTTTGCCGGCGTGCTCGGTTTTGCGCTTGATTTCCCCCCATATCCGACCCGGCGACATGCGACCGGGCGACGACATTGCTCCGGAAGCCACCGTTAACCAGGTCGTGACGAGGCCACGCTTGACTAAGAGCTATGTCAAATGGAAGTTAACTTAACCAAGAGCTGTGGCAAGTTTATGATTTAAGTGTTAGTGCAGCAGGTAATTAGTCTGAGTAGGTGGGGGCAGCTTTGCAGTTTGTGAAGGATAAGGCCGCACGAGGAGGTCTGAGCAGGCGGTTAGGTATACGACAACCAAAGACGGACACGACGAAGACGCGAGTCGAATGTCTTAGGCGCGCTGTCTTTTTGCCGTCGAAAGGCTTGGTCTCGGAGACATTGATAAGCGTCGTCGGCGGCTGGGTAGGATGGTCAACCTACGAGAAAAGAGACATTCGTGATTAAGCTGCGACAGCTGTTTCAAGGTAAATGGCGGATAAGTAAGGAGATAATTGGCGCTAAACAGGTGGGATGGGAGAGAAGGAATAATGACCAAGTAGTCCGGAAACATCTTCTGCATCATCAAGGAGGAGAAAACATCTCAAGGCACGCGCGAGTCCAATGCCGCTTCCGCCGCAAGTCAGGTTGCTTTCCGACTGCGACCGCGACACCTCAGTCAGTCCTCCTCCGCCGCCCCGCGACCCAGTTCACTTATCAACCCCCCCGACTGAGGCTGCTTCGGGTGCCCCCCTTCCATCTTCACCCTCGAGTTTTTCGCGCTTTGTGACTGGCGGTGGCTGTCATCGAGATTGACCGAGCTTAGGCCGAGCAGATGGCGCGAAAGGGCAAAGGTTTGGCAGGCAACGGAGTGAGGAGAAGTGTGCTTGGATCGAAATGGTGATAACAAAGAATGAGCTTGGTAACAGAATGGAACTGATCTCTGCTGAGCGACGGCTACGATTTTGCCGGTCGTTACAAGTTGCAGCACTGGTTTGGGGTCAGGCTCGCCTGGAAACTGCAGGAAACGGTAAGTAGTGATTGGATGGAGCACTTCACCTCCACTGACCACGACGAAACTGTAACACAGCAGACACGTCATTCGCGAAATTGCAATCAGTGGCAGATTCCCAACAAACTGATTGAAGCTGGTTACGAACTCGTGCGCTCACAGCACTTCGCAGGGTACCTTGGAGCTACAATGTCATCTCGCTTGCTTCATTTCTTCGCAGGTCCAACCCCACAGCAGCCAACTCCCACACGGCACCAGCTGCACTCACATTTCTGACACGTCTCGAATCTGCTTTAGAAATGCACAGCCGTCAGCTGTAGTTCTACTCACATTTCTTAGGATCCCTAGGAAATTGATTGATGTTGCACTGCGTTCAGCATTCGTAAACCGTGAAACGGGTGGGGTCGAAGACCGGAAGGCTGTTCAGTTTGACCAGACTGTAGGGTTGTATGATTGAATGATTAGTCATATCGGCTAGAGGGCCCTCAGCTCTAGCAGAGGTTCCGACAAGTGCATATTCGCGAAAGACGGAATCCGTCAGTTGAAGGTTGTTTTAGCATCAGAAGCATCTGCGTGTGCCGTAGATGAAAATGATGGACGGATGACGCAAGAGAACGTTCATTTCCAATCTGATCGAATCTAGACCACCTCCGTCAGTGCGACTTACTTGCGAGTCGCTGAATCGGAAACCTGTGGTCGAGTAAAAGCGACGGCATAGGAAATTCTCTTGGACGACTTCACTTGGTCGAGATAGTAGGATTGAACATGATTACCAGACACGTGAAGGAGAGAGGGAGAACAAAAGCTGTCTAGAAGGCGTCGAGGCCTTCGTGTGATGTAATCAGGCAGGATCAGTCTCGTACACAACGACAGAAGCAGCCTTACGTCATCATGGACTTTCTCAGCCGAGCTACAGCCAGTAGCGATCACCATGGTCAGGTAAAGTTGCAATGCTGAGCACTGCTGACACCTTGTTTCATGCCTGATTATATCCCTAATCTTGCTGGTTCTATCACCTCACTGATTGTATCTTTTTACTTCACTGATTGTATTCGTACTGTATACGGTGCTCCATCAGGAAGGGATTCCCGAGGAGCCAGACTACGCCATCCGTTGCTACGCAACCAAGCACTCATGGCGAGGACGCTACAAGCGGGTCTTCTGTGTGTCATCCTCCGCTATTATCACACTCGATCCCCACTCGCTCTCGTCTACCAACCACTACACCCTCGTGGCGGATTATGAGGGGATTGTGGTGGCTCCTCCGCTTGGAGGGAAGGAAGATGGGCAGGTGGGTACAAAGGCCAGAGATTATGGCGTGGTTGGTTGTTGCTGTTGAATTTGGAATAACCAGCTGCTAAATACTTGTATTGATTCGACGTATTTCAGTGTCGTAGTCTCCTCTCTTGGAATCCTCACTATATCATTTTATTTGGAGTTGGTGCTTGATCAAGCCTTCATCACTCTGTGCCTTCTCCTGCCGCGTTTCACTCACGCAGCAGCTGGAATTCACAATCAACGTTCGCACAGATGGACGTGGCAAGTACAAGCCCATCAAGTTCTCTGCACGGTAACCTCTCCACGCCCTCCTTGAAAACGCTTCTATGTGCATCCACATGATTCATCTTAAGCTTTGTTTCGTAGTCCGTGCTCCTGAGTCGAAACGTCGCAGGAATATCAAGCCTTACAACATGCCATTATCGGTGCTCCACTTTAATTGCCCGAATGCTAACTCTCAATACAAGTTATCCTTGATCCTCTGATTCCAGGCACCGTGCATCTTTGCTGACGGAACTGCACAGGGTGGTGGCGGCACTGCATCCCCACCCTCCTCGGCCCCTCACCACTCCCTCCACAGTCTTCCCTGTTCTCTGCCTCCGCCGCCGCTCTCAAACCTGGGTGCCTAGAGTACGTCTATCCACACCCAGGTGTTCTCAGTGCTTGAATTGGATGTTAATTAGCCCGTTCTCTCCCCTCTTTGGCTGTTTTCACTGTTGATCACTTAGCAAAATGTTTCCTTACTCATGTCTCCTCATGTTCTTTCTCACTGCCATCTATCCAGGCTATGCGCATCTCACCAGTGGGAATCGAGGTAATCCAAGCACCCGTGGAAGCAGTTTCAGCTGCTTCCACTCCCGCAACAACATCCCGCTCCTCCTCTGTGGCCTCCATAGCAGCAGCAGTGCGCTGGAGTGTGGAGTTTCAGGGTCTCTCCTCCCCTGCTCTCACTGTGCTCGCTAGCCCAGAGGAGGCCGCATCTAGTGCAGGTGCTTCCAGTGGAGGCTCATCTGGAGGGTTCTTTGGTGTGCGAAGGGGCGTGGCGGGGAGGGAGGATGGGGGGTTTATCCTGCGGCTGGGGTTTGGGAGGCGGGCCAAGGCGATCACAGCTACTGGAGGGTGTTCCAACTCGGCCATCCTGTCAAAGATTGTAAGCTTCAGGTTCCCGAAAAAGGTCCACCTTCCCTTTCAGTGACTCACCTTGCTCTGATTTGAGCTCTCTTAGAGTCCTTCTGAGCATGCGGTTTTCAACGTGATTCAGTTTTTCCAACGTCCAACTCTCCAACGTGAGAAGTTCTTGCTGCGAGTTTGCTAACATTTTTTTTGTTTCCCTCAGGTTGACACAGCCAAGGGCTCCATAGGCCGTGCGCTCACAGTGGACACCACCTCTCGCCCGAGTGTCACAGACTTTGTTTCACAGACTGGTACGTGCAATACGCTGTACAGTACAGTGCAGTGCAGCGCATAAAGCAGTTTCAGTCGTGTATTCCACAAGTGCCGTTTCATTCCTTCATTCCAAGTTCGTTCTCCTCCAACAATGTGCCCCATCCTAACCCCTTTGCTGATCACAGCGGTGGGAGGAGTGGGTCCCAACGAGCCCCCACTGGGGGAGTGGTCCGTCACCCTCGTCCGTCACTCTGCTCTGCTCCCAGACCCCTCCCCTCGCGCCTCCTCTGCTGCTGCCGGTGGTGCTGGCGCTACCTCTAGCAGCAGCAGCAACAGCAATAGCGTGGCAGGGGGGGGAGTGCAAGGCGGATTGGGTGTGGAGATGAGTGGCTCGGCTCGTCAATTTGCCGTGACTCGGCACTACTTTGTGGAGCGCAACCCAGTCACTTATGAGGTGAGCTTTCGGGAAAACAACTTCAGTATCGCCTCAGAATCTTGTTGTGATTCGGCAGCACTACTTTGTGGAGCGCAACCCAGTCACTTATGAGGTGAGGGGACAAATGGTCTGTTGATCTCTTCGTATTGAGAGTTTGTCCGCATCGTGAGTTTGTTTGTATATGTAAGTGGTGGCATGGCACTGGTGGCAGGCTCATCACTTTCCTTCTGCTGCTTGTGAAACCCTCCCGTTGCTGTGCATGGCAGGCCACATACATGCGGCAGCTCTCAACCGTGTCGGCTCTGGTGCGATGGGTGGAGGAGCCTCAGCTGCTGGCTCTGGAGTTCGTTGACGGGGCACCAATCCTGGTGAGACACGTGTTGGCTTGCCCCGCTTCGGTCACACATCTGCCAGCGCCCGTTTTAGTCACTCTACGCGTTTCGTCCATCTTACATATAAGGCGTGAGCAAGATTCGTCCTGCATGCCAAGCAAAGCTCCAAGATTTTCCAATCATGAGCATTCGGTCACCCACCCACCCACCCACCCGCCAGGTGTACCGATGTGCAGCACGTGACTCTCTCCTGTCCGCCCTCAAAGATGCTATTGAAACCGAGGTGAGATGCGTGGTTGCGATGCTGAAAATCAGGTCCCAGTGTTGAGGATAGGGTTTAGGTTTTGTGGTTCAGATGTTGAAGCAAATTACGTGAAAGTTGATCAAACCTCAAGTGAACGGTTTCCATGTCTCGATCATCCCCCGTTTCTGCCCAGTTCACTAGTGCTCATACTCTAGCACACATCCCATGCCCCCATGTCCTCCCCCCACACAGACATCTAAGCCCGTTCCTGTTCTCGCTCGTCCCACTGCCACCGGCCACAGACTAGACGGCCCTTACGGCGACGCCTTCCATGCCTACTCCCCTCCAACCCCCACCTCCTCCACCTCCTCTTCCATTTCCCACACAGTTACCACCTCTGCACCCACCTCCTCCTCCTCAGACCCCCCTACAACTCCAGCCGCAGCAGCAGCATCCTCATCATCAGGAGCAGCGGCGGCGGCAGCAGCAGTGGCAGCAGCAGCAGCATCTGCAAGCCTAGAGGCATCCTCTCTCTCCATGTCGCGCCTAGGCCAGGGTCTATTTGGTGACGTAGAGGGGGATCAACTCCTGGTGAAGCACCTCGCAGCAGCAGCCAAGGATGCAGTTGCCGACGGGGGAACCATCCCTGGTTCGAAGACTCGGCTCTGGCGAAGAGTCAGAGAGTTCAACGCCTGTGTGCCTTACTCAGGGCTCTCGGCAGGGGTTGATGTTCCTGATGTGGTGGTCATGGCTGTGCTTAGCATGCTGCCCAGCCCGCCTGTTCCTCCTCCTGCGGGTACTGAGGCTGCTTATGACGAAGCAGGTGCTTATAGCGCAGCGGCAATTCTCCCTGCGCCTTCCCCGAGGGCTGCTGGGACGCACATTGGGCTGCTGGCGTGTCTGCGGCGCCTGGTGGGGGCAAGTGGCGCGTTCTCATTGGTGGTGGGGATGCCGGGAGCAGTGGGGAGAATTATGGGGCTTGTGCGGAGTGGGTCAGAGGCAGTGGCGGCTGAAGCACTCGGTGAGTCTTGGCTTGGGGAGTCTGCTTTGATTTGCGCCTCAATAATCAGGCCCCGAAAAAGCAGTGGGATCATGGGGCTGGTGTGGAGTGGGTTGGAGGCAGTAGCAGCTGAAGCACTCGGTGAGTCTTGGGAGAGTTGCTGCTGGAGGGAGTGTTCAAAAGAGTGGGTGGGGTGGGAAAGGTTATCGGGAAGTGGGTTAACTGCGATGGAGAAATGTCATCTAGTGTCTGCTGCTGTGTTCACCCTTGTCCCGGTTTTCCGGTACCGTTCCTGCTTCTTTTCCACTTCTTTCTCGCGCGTACCCTGTTTCTACCCTGCTGCTCCACATGTGCGCGTCCCCCCACATCTCCCCCCTGCCCCTTACACACCAGGTCTGCTGCGAGCCATCATAGCACTGCCAGTCTCTCTGCGGAATACAGCCAGCCAGATTGGAGCAGCCAGTCAGGGCACAGCAGCTGCCAGCACAGCATGCAACAAGGCCATGGCTGCTCGCGCTGCTGCCAAAGCCGCTTTCTTCCCCATGCCTGTCCAGGTAAAGCCCCCTTCCCCACGCCTGTCCAGGTAAAGCCCCCTTCCCCACGACCTTTCGTGTAAGGCTCCTTCCTCACACCCTCCCGCTCGCTGTACGTTTCGTTTGACACTTTCGTCAGTGGGGCAAAAAGCTCTTTACATTCCTTGTTTCTTTCGTCTTGTTTCCTTTCTCTCCCTGTCCATCGTTGTTTGCACCCTGCCCAGGTGGCAGCAGTGGTGAATCGCCTGAAGCCACGGTCGGTGTCGCCACTGCTGTCAGCTGCAGCAGTGGCGGTGGTGGAAGCGCTGGTGTGCTCGCCTGACAGTGACACCACACAGGACGCAATCTTCCATGAGACACTGCGCCAGGTGAGGAGGGACACTGCTAGAGATCATTTATGTGAGGCTGGTGCATAGCATACTAGAGGATAGAAATTATTTGCATTGCCACTTGCCTTGTCCATGTATATGATCATAAACATCCCCTTCCACCTCCCTTTTCCCATTAACCCCGTTATCCAACCGTTTGTTCCCCCCACTCCCTCCCCACACCCTTCGTGCTTCCCGCCGGCTGGCTGCATCCCAGGTGGCAAACCTAAAGCGCCGTCTCTTCTCCCTGTTCGCGCATCCAGCCGAGGGCACACGGGAGGCAGTGGCAGTCATCATGTGCACCATCGCAGAAGAAGACGAGGCCGCCGCCCGGCCCATGCGCGATGCCGCCCTACAAGACGGCGCTTTCCTGCGGCACCTGAGCAACAGTGTTGCAGCAGCGGGAGGGGAGAGGAGAGATCTGAGCCGGCAGCTGATTGCCCTCTGGGCTGAAGGGCATGACCCCAGTCTGGATCTCATCCGAAGGTGCTGCCCTCCTGGTCTCTGTGCTCATCTGTACTCGCGTCGTGACACGTCAGCAGCACTGCCAGGTCAGCAGCAGGTCGGGAGGAAGGGCAGGAGGAGGGTATCAGCAGCAGCTGCTGCTATCGGCCGCAGAAGGCACGGGCTAGGGGGTGTTGGCGCTGGGGGCTGGGGCAGTGCGGGGGAGAGCATGACCGGTAATCTGGGGGTTGGTTTGGGAGGAGGGCAAATGGCAGGAGCAGGGAGTGGTGAGGATGGGCAGTTCTCAGCGGCTGCAGCGGATTTTCTGTCTCAGTCAACGCCTTTCCTGCCCTCCTCCCGCCCGCAAGACCTGTCCATTTCGGACCTCTGGCCTGCCGGAGCTGCCTCAGCTTCGGCCCTAGCCAGCTCGGTGATAGGCTCGGTGTCCAGTTCGGTTCGGGATGCGATTGCATCTGCTTCAGTTGCTGCTGTTGAAAATGCTCTCTCTGGTGGCGTTTCCACTGCCACTGCTACACCTGCTGGTAGCACTACTGCTGCCTCTGCTCCTGCTGCTGCTGCTGCTATTGCAGGTAGTGCTGGTGCAGGTGGGGTTGGTCCGGGTATGCCTGGTGGTGCTGCCATGGATCCACTAGCTACTGCCGCACGTGTGTCAGGAGGAGCAGGTGGAGCAGCAGCAATGGCAGGAGCAGTAGCAGGAGCTGCAGTGGCAGGAGGAGCAGTTGCAGGGAGCACAGCAGGAGCGCCAGGAGCACATCAGCCACACCCTTCTCAGCTGCAACAGCAGCATCAGCAGCAGCAGCATCAACAACCGCAGCAACAGTTTCAGGCGCAGCATCAGCATCAACAGCAGTATCAGCATCAACAGCAGCATTATCAGCAGGAACAGCAGCATTATCAGCAGCAACAGCAGCATTATCAGCAGCAACAGCAGCAGCAGGGGAACGGAGCTGGAGCTGCAGTAGCACCAAGCCCACTCCCAGCACCAGCAACAGCTCCGCATACAGGCTCAGCAACTCCCCCCCAGCTGAACCCCCCAGGTGCCCCAGCAGCACCACAGGAAGCAAGCACAGCCGGGGGAGGTCTCAACTGGGAGCGGTTCTGGCACGAGTTCGCGGGGGACCACTGCAGGGCGGATCTGATCTGGAACGAGCGCACGAGGCAGGAGCTGAGGGAGGCTCTTCAGGGGGAGGTACATCTGCTGGACGTGGAACAGGAGAGGTTCTTGGGGGGAGGAGGGGCGGAGGAGGAAAGGCGGGAGGAGAAGGAAGGATTGGAGAAGGGAGATTCTGGTGGGGAGGGTGATGGGGAGGAAGGAAGAGGGGTCGTGCTTAGTTGGAATTTCGCCGAGTTTCGAGTGCGGTATCGGTCGTTGGCCTGTGAACTGTGCGTAGGGGGTTATTACCTGCGCCTCTTCCTCCACCCAGGTGCCGTTGACGGTCAACCAGACACTGGCGCTGCTGCTGCTGCAGCTGGTGGCGGCGCTGTGGATTCTCCCACTGACAGTACAGGGGAGGCAGGGGCAGCAGCAGTGGGATCGATTCGGGACCCTGCAGCGTTTTTCCGGTCGCTGTACCACCGGTTCTTGAGGGAGGCGGATATGGGGCTCGTGGTGGATGGGGTTGACGCCTCTCAGGATCGTGCCAGGTGAGTGGTTATTCTGAATGTCAGCAGCCGAAATCCATCTATTGTGATTTTTCCGTACCAAGTGGTGAGAATGTTCTTTGCCCTCTCTCCATCTGATTGCAGGCTGAGTGAGTGGTGCGACCCCACAGGCGAAGACTGCTTCGGAGGAGCCCAGCTGCAGCAGCCTGCTGCAGCAGCAGGGGATGAAGGAGCAGTGGAAGGTGGAGCCAGCAAGGGAGAGGGGCAGGGAGGGCAGGGTGGGAAGGGAGGAAAGGGAGGGAAGGGAGGAGGGGCGGTGAGCAATGCGGTGCGGGAGCTTTGTGCGCGGGCCATGGCGATAGTGTACGGGCAGTACGGGGCGGTGATAGGGCCGTTTGACGGCACGGCGCATGTCACTCTGCTGCTGGATCGCACCTTGGATAGAACCCTCCGCCACCGCCTGCTGCTGCTGCTCAAGGTATGTGTTGTGCGAGGTGTTCAGCAGTGAGTGTGCTGAGAATTCTCAAGGATGTCACTCTGCTGCTGGATCGCACCCTGGATAGAACCCTCCGCCACCGCCTGCTGCTGCTCCTCAAGGTACGTCCACGTGTCCACGTGCTGCGAGTGCCTGTGTAGCAGAATGTGGCGGTATGGCCTTTGCCTGACTCCTTGCGTCTCTCACACCCCTTCCTGGCCTCTGTGTCGTGTCACCTGCAGGCGCTGGTGCGAGTGCAAGAGAATGCGAGTGCGTGTGTGGCGGTGGGAGGGTGTGAGCTGGCAGTCGACCTCCTCTGCTCTGCACACGACGCCCATGAACGCACCTCCATTCCTCTCCAGGTGCGTGCACTATCCACTGCATGCACACGTATAAAGTTTCGACCTGGATCCAGCAGGTGACTCGTCCTACTCCAACAGGTCACTATCCACTGGATGCACATGCACATGCACATGCACATGCACATGCACATGCACATGCACATGCGCCATCACCTTACCATCCCACACCAGATGTACCAGCCCTCCTTTCACATCTACCTCTCCCATCCCTTTTCCCTACTCATCCTTCCCCTATTTTATCGCCACTTCTGTCCACACACCCTCCGATCATCACTCTCTCATCCTCCACTCTCTCTCCTCCCTTCCTCATCACCCTTATGCTCATCACCCCCATTCCCCTTACCACCGTTCCAGTCAAACCTACTGGCAGCAGCGGCATATACTGAACCACCCAAGGAGTGGTTCTACATGCTGCCCAACGGGGGGTGCGTGGGGCCGGTGCTCAAGGCAGCATTCTGAGTCGACTAAAGAATCCTTCTCATCACTCTCATTCCCACCATCCTCATCCCCGTCGCCCTCTTCCAGTCGAACCTGCTGGCAGCGACGGCATACACAGAACCCCCTAAAGAATGGTTCTACATGCTGCCCAACGGGGGCCGTGTGGGGGGCAGGTGGGGCTCGTGCACAAGGATACTTGTCGACTAAGACATCATTCTCACTCACCATACTCCCACCGCCCCCAACCCTGTCCAGTCGAACCTGCTGGCAGCGACAGCATACACAGAACCCCCCAAGGAGTGGTTCTACATGCTGCCCAACGGGGGGCGCGTGGGGCCGGTGGGGCCGGTGGGGCCGGTGGGGCCGGTGCACAAGGATGCATTCTGAGTCAACTGAACAAACATTCTCCTCACCCCATTGCTCGCACCCCCTTGCAGTCGAACCTGCTGGCGGCAACGGCATACACAGAGCCTCCTAAAGAATGGTTCTACATACTGCCCAACGGGGGCCTCGTGGGACTGGTGGGGCCGGTGCACAAGGATGCATTCTGAGTCAACTGAACAAACATTCTCCTCACCCCATTGCTCGCACCCCCTTGCAGTCGAACCTGCTGGCGGCAACGGCATACACAGAGCCTCCTAAAGAATGGTTCTACATGCTGCCCAACGGGGGCCGCGTGGGGCCGGTGCTCAAGGCGGCAGTGCAGCAGGCGCGGTGGCGGGGGGAGGTTGACTGGAGCACCCGCTGCTGGGCGGCCGGGTGGGACGAGTGGCGCCGCGTGTGTGACGTGCGGGAGCTGCGCTGGGCCATGGCCACTGGCGTTGCCATCCTCACGCCTGCTCAGGTTTGTTTGGGTATATGATCGGGTTTGTTTGTGAGGTGGACTGGGGTAGCAGCATGCTGCTGGGCGGTGGGGTGGGACGAGTGGCGCCGCGTGTGTGACGTGCGCGAGCTGCGCTGGGCCATGGCCACTGGCGTTGCCATCCTCACACCTGCCCAGGTTCGTTTGGAATCTTGCTCGGGTTGTTCTGTTCGTGTTGCCGTACTTGCTGTCTGGGTTAGTGCTCTCTCGTGCTGCTATGCTATGTTCATCCATCCTCAGGTTCATGTGTCTCTCAGTGACAGCACACACCCGCGTGCATTGAGGTGTATTTTGAGGCGCTTTAAAAGGTACTTGCTGCCTGGGTTACTGCTCTCTCGTGCTGCTATGCTATGCTATGCTCATCCATCCTCAGGTTCATGTGTCTCTCAGTGACAGCACACACCCGGCCTTCATGCATCTTATTTCCCTCCTTCCCTCCTTCCTTCCTCCCGCATGCCCAACCAGGTGGGAGAAGCAGCACTGGACATCCTCCTATCCCTCGTCGCCTGCTCCTCCTCCACCTCCTCCCTCCACCTCCCCTCGTTACAATCACACACCACATCCACCAACGGCCCGTCCGAAGTGCTAGTGGGAAGTGGGGGAGCGAATGCCGTTGATGGTGGTGGAAGTGGTGGAGGTGGAGGGGGGAGGGGGCGGGAGAGAGGGGGAGGGGATGTGCTGGTGCCCATGCCCAGGGTCAGGAGAGCTCTCTGTGACCCCAGATGCCTGCCGCACCTCGCACAGGTATGCTCTCTGACTTCCATCCCGTCTTCCCTCCCCTGTGCCGTCCTCCTCCATTACATTTGAAAAGCCCCACATTCGTAACCCCTTCTCCTCCTTCCCCCCCCCTAATTCTTCCTCTCCCTTGTCAGCTTTCTCTCCCCCCCTCTTCCCCCCACCCTCCCTCTAATGAGAGCATCCCTTTCACCCACACCACACCCATCAACTTTCACTATCCCACTTTGTTACTGCGCTGGGAAAAACCGCTTTCACTAACATCTCCTGTCACCCTCCTGTGAAATACTGGCAGGCCATTCTCACCAACGAGCCTGCTATAGTGGAAAAGGCCGCGCTGCTATTGGAGGAGATCGTGCGCTACAATCCAACAGTCGCCACCCGCCTGTACACCACGGGCGTGTACTTCTTTGTGTTTGCCTACGCTGGCTCCAACTTTGGGACGCTAGCGTCGCTCTGCCACGCCACACACACACGGTGAGTACTGAAGATGAGGTGTCATTGCCATTCCATGCCCCGAATCTCCACACTCCCACCCCTTCCCCGGTCCCCCCTTCCCCTCTAACCGTCCCCTTCACCTGGCAGGCAAGCGTATGTGAGCGGCATAGAGGCAGCGGACATGGCGTCACAGCCGCTGGCCAAGCGCAGCATCCTGGGAGTGCTGCTGCCAGAGAGCCTGCTCTACGTGCTTGACAGGCGTGGGGCAGCAGCGTTTGCCGCTGCTGTTGTGGCGGACTCTGATTCGCCGGAGCTCATCTGGACGCATGCCATGCGGGGCTCCGTGCTCATCCCGCAGGTGAGGACAAAAACCGAAGGTGGGATTTTTTATTTTGATCAGTACTGCTTGTTCTCAAAGCTCTTCCTTGCACTGTGGTACTAGTATTAGTACCTTCTTGAACCACTTCTTCCCCCTCCTCTCTTCCATTCTATATCCTGCAACCCCCTCTCTCCCCCTACCACCCTCACCCCTCTGCACTTCTCCACACCGCACTGCAGATTCTCTCCCACCTGGGCGATTTCCCCCAGCGCCTGAGCCAGTTCTCCAGGGCGCTGTATGACCACACGCCCATGCCGCCCATCTCGTACCCCGAGCTCAAGGACGAGATGTGGTGCCACCGCTACTACCTCCGGAATTTGTGCGATGAGATCCGTTTCCCTGATTGGCCGATTGTGGAGCACGTGGAGTTCCTCCAGTCGCTGCTCGCCATGTGGCGAGAGGAGCTCGCAAGGAAGCCCATGGGGATCTCCGATGAGGAAGCATGCGCCATTCTCGAGATTCCCACCGGTGAGCGAATTTTGAGAATTCTAAATTGAATCGGACTGGTGAGCTGCCTTCAGTGCAGCATTGTTGTGACTTTTGAGTCGACTCAAGAGAGCCATGGGGATCTCAGTGGAGGAAGCATGCGCCATTCTCGAGATTCCCAGTGGTGAGCTGCCTTCACTGCAATAGCCCTCTTGCTGACCTGAGATTTTTTGGACTTTAATGCTTGGTGACTCCAAATGAGCCGTACCTTTTCCCTGTCATTCCTTTCTGACCACCCTCCCCCGCCACTCTTTTCTTCACCCCCCCCCCTCTCTTCCCCCTACACACTGCTCCTTTCCCCCCTCGCTTCCCTCCCAATTCTCATCCTTCCGCCCCCTGCTCCCCCAGACAAGCAGCAGCCAGCCTCCGCCGCCGCAGGCACCGCCTTCCCCGCTACAAGACAAGGCGTGCAAGTGGACGAGGACGTGCTGAAGAGGCAGTACCGGCGCATGGCGGTGAGATATCACCCGGACAAGAACCCTGAAGGGCGGGACAAGTTCATAGCAGTGCAGAAGGCATACGAGCACCTGCAGTCTGCCATGCAGGGCCTGCAGGGGCCGCAGACCTGGCGCGTGCTGCTGCTACTGCGCACGCAGATTATTCTGTTTCGGAGGTATCCGGGAGTTTTGGAGCCGTTCAAGTATGCTGGGTTCCCGCTGCTGCTGCAGCTGCTGCGGCTGGAGGATGGGGATGGCGAGGCAGGTGCAGGGAATGCGGGGGATGGTGCGGGTGATGGTGCTGGTGTTGGTGCTGTTGGTGGGGAGGATGGTGGGAAGGCGTGGCGGCAGCAGGAGAGCGCATCTAGCTTTCTGTCGCCAGAGCGTTCGGAGTTACTGCAGGCAGCAACGCATCTGCTGTGGCTCATGTGAGTAGAGTAGCGGCACCCTCGTGGGGTTTGTTGATTTTTGAGTCGACTCAAAAATCTGTGGCTCATGTGAGTAGCGGCACCCTCGTGGGGTTTGCTTTTCGTTGGTGTTCTATTTACCTCCCACCTCTCCTGTTGCTTCTCTCCTGTGTATTCATTCATTCTCTCCTGGAGATGATTGGCCAGACGAGTTTCCCTTCCCCCTCCCTTCCCTCTCCCCTCCCCTCCAGCTGTGCCTGCTCCTCCCTTAACGGCGAAGAGCTCTTGCGAGACGGGGGCCACTCGTTTTTGTGGAGAACAGATGTAACACGAGTTTCCCTTCCCCTCCCTTCCCCCGCCCCTCCCCTCCAGCTGTGCCTGCTCCTCCCTCAACGGCGAAGAGCTCTTGCGAGACGGGGGCCACTCGTTTTTGTGGAGAACAGATGTAACACGAGTTTCCCTTCCCCTCCCTTCCCCCGCCCCTCCCCTCCAGCTGTGCCTGCTCCTCCCTCAGCGGCGAAGAGCTCTTGCGAGACGGGGGCCACTCGTTTTTGTGGAGAACAGATGTAACACGAGTTTCCCTTCCCCTCCCTTCCCCCGCCCCTCCCCTCCAGCTGTGCCTGCTCCTCCCTCAACGGCGAAGAGCTCTTGCGAGACGGGGGCCTGCCTCTCCTCACCACGCTCCTCTCCCGCTGCCTCTCCCTCCTCTCCCCCTCCTCCTCCCCCACTGACCCCCCTGCCCTCATCGCCACCCACATCCTCCGCACGCTCGCCATTCTCTCCGCCTTCCCCTCCGCCCGCACCGAGGTTCGGACCAACCAAGCCTGCGCAGCAGCCTTGGTGCCGGACCTGGTGGTGGCGACGGAGCTAGAGAGCACGCCCGGGGCTGTGGAAGCAGCACTAGAGGGGATTTTCCACCTGGCGCTGTCTAAGGGGCTCAGAGAGAGGCTGCTAAGGGCTGGTGCATTGTGGTATCTGCTTCCGCTGCTCTTTAAGTTCGATTCCACTGCGGATACTGCTGGTGGTGATACCAAAGGCGGAGGCGGCAGCAGCAGCAGCCTGAGTGCAGGTGCAGCAGTGACTGCAAAGGCCGACAGCGGCGGCGGAGCCCTGCTTCTATCTGCCTCTCAATTCTATCAGTCCTCTTCCCAGTACCTCGCCCTGCCCTCCACATCACACACTATCTCCACCCCTCTCCCTTCCACCGGTACGAATGGCACCAGAATCAACACCAGCAGCACCACATTCTCCTCCTCCACCTCAGCCTCTGCCTCTGCTGTCACCGGTGTCACGGGCCAATCAGCAATCGGCGCCAACGTCCAGTCAGAGCGCAACCTGCATGCAGTACTGGCAGCACGAGCCATTGCTCGACTGACAGGGTACCTGAGGGAGAAAGGCGGGTTTGCGGAGAGGGGAGGCGAGGAGGAAGGGTGGGGGGAGGGCGAGGGGGAGGAGGGGTCGGCGGATGCAGCAGCACGAGCGGCTGTGAAGGTGCTGCTGACGCCGCGGCTGGCTGCTAGACTGGCAGAGAACTCGCCTGTGGGGCTGCTCAAGGCGCTCACCAGCAATGTGGAGAGCCCTCAGGTAAGCTGATTGTTTTAGTCAGTTGGAGATTAGGCTGGCTTCCGAGTTCGCAGGTTGCTGACCTCTGGGCAGATGCAGCAGCAAGGAGGCTGCTTGAGGTTGCGGTGGTCCCTGCTGAGATTAGCTTGTAATCTCCGTGAATCAATTCTGAGAGCTCTCTTCATGTCACTTCGTAGTGTGTGGACTCAGCTTGTACTCGTGATGATTCCTTATTGGATTTACAACAGGTGATATGGAGCAGTGGCATGAGGGCACAGCTGCTGCGGTTTCTGGAGGACAGGAGGGCGCAGAGGGAGGCAGATGGGTCGTATGCGGTGGATGCATGCCAGACGTTTGTGTACACTGCACTGGAGGACGAGATCCAGGTGAGCTTATAACGAGGACGATATCCAGGTGAGCCCATTCTTGAATAAGAGAATTAGGTGGGTTTAAAGCGAGAGAGGAAACGTGATTTGGCTGTGATGTGGGTGAGAGTGAGAGCCATGTGCATGTACTGCCATGGCATTGGGATGTGTGGTCTATCTGCTGCAGGTAAGTGCATCCAGACTTCCCGACTTCCTGACTTCCCAATTTCTGACTTCCCTCGTTGACCTTTGGTCTCTCTCTGCTGCTCCTATCAAAGAGATCTCATGCGTCGCGTCCCTTTCCTCGCACTCCTCATCGCATCCCACCACCAGGTGGGAGACATCTACCCGCGCCTCTTCATCCAGCACCCAGACTTCCCCTCTCCGTCCGTCTCCGCTGCCCCTATCAATAACACCTCATGCGTCCCCGTCTTCCCCCGCACCCATCTCTCCACCTGCTCCTCTTCATTCAGCACCCAGACTTTCCTCTCTCCGACCTGAGTCTCTCATTGAGACCTCCAGCATCCCCCTCCCCCCCCACCGCTCATGTGTTCCTTCCGTCCCGCCACCAGGTGGGAGACATCTACCTGTGTCTGTTCATCCAACACCCAGACTTCCCTCTCTCCGACCCCGAGTCCTCCTCTGCTGCCCCTATCAATAACGCGCGTCCCCGTCCCCCCCCCGCACCCATCCCTCCACCAGGTGGGAGACATCTACCTCCGTCTCTTCATCCAACATCCAGACTTTCCTCTCTCTGACCCCGAGTCACTCTCCGCTGCCCTCGTGCCTTTCCTGCTCGACATGTGCGCGCTGCTCCCGCCCATGCACCACTCCCAATCGCACCACACGCCTCTGCACCCTGCTGCTGTCCTGCTGCTGCGCAAGTGGGACCGGCGGGGTGTGGAGGGGGGCGAGGAGGAGGAGGAAGAGGACAGGAAAGGGGAAGGGGAAGAGGAGGAGAACGGCGGAGGTGGGGAGGGAGGTGGCGGTGGTTTTAGGATTCCAGACGATTGGGAGGTTGATGGGGGGGGAGGAGGAGCAGGAGGGAGAGGTGGCGGGGAGGAGCAGGACGGGGGTGGGAGGGATAGCAAAGGGAGGCGGAAGAGGAGGAGGAAGGCAAGGGATGTGCGGTGGGTGTTGGGGAATATCATCATGGCCCTCACCTCCCTCCACAATGTGCTCTCCACCTCGCCTTCTGCCGCCGCTGCCGTCGCCTCCCCTGCCTCCCTCGCCCCTCTCTTCACCTGCATCTCCCTCTCCCTCCCCACACTCCCTGCCCCACCCTCCTCTTCCTCTTCCTCTTCTACTGTCTCTGCACCCGCTGCTCTCTCCGCTGCACACATAGAGGCTAGAATCCGCCATCTCGCGCTGGCAGTGCTGACCAGACTCACCGGCTTCGCACCTAGTGTGGCTGCGATGGTATCAGACCGAGGGTCTCTCCTGATGCTGCTGCTGCTGCTCGTGCGATCGCCGCAATCTCGGCCGTCCATTCTGGGCATGCTGCAGTCGCTGGCGGGTACGCCAGAGCTAGCGTGGGTGGTGGCGAAGCAAGGCGGCGTCGTCTTCCTCCTCGCGCTCCTGCTCCCTGCCCCTGGTGAGCATTCACCTTACTCAAAATTCCATGGAAGAAGTCACAACCCTCTTGACCGTGAATCACGTACCTCTCCTTTGGATGCTCCAGTCCAGATGTCTGCCTCCTCCGTGCCTCCTCCGTGCCTCCTCCGTGCCTCCTCCGTGCCTCCTTTGCGCCACTCACAGGTCCATGATTGTGTGCCCAGCCACATGTGCACCTACTTAACCATGAGCAAGTATCCCCAACCAACCACATTCACTCCTCTCCCTTCGCCCGTCCCCTGCAGGAGACGACATACCCCACCCTATCCGGGTCACCACAGCCCTCCTCCTCTCCGCGCTCCTCTCTCAGCCCCTGCACGGCCCGCGGGTCTTCCTCTCCCTCTCCCGCTTCCTGCCCCAAGGCCTCCTCTCCTTCCTGCGGGACGGTTCAGGGGAAGCTGCCATTGCTGCTCTCTCCCAGACCACGCAAACCCCCGAGCTCGTCTGGTCCCCCGCCCTCGCGCTCAATCTCGGCCGTCGGATAGCGGTGCTGGCTGCTGAGGTTGTACGGATGGTAGAGATCGCACGGAGGTCTGGTGGTGGGAGCAAGGGAGGAGGCGAGGGTGGTAGTTCCGTTTTTGGAAACCTGGCTTCTTTTGAATGGGATCCGCCTGATCTTGTGGGGGCTATCGGTGGGGGCACTCCAGGTGTTGCATCAGGTGCTGGTTCGGGTGGTCCAGGTGGGGCGCCAGGCGCATCAGACAACAGTCTGTTGAATTCACCTGAAGAAGGGGACGAGTGGCAGGTGGGCGGCGTGTACATTCGTCTCTTCCTCAAGGACCCCAAGTACCCGCTGCGCAACCCCAAGCGCTTTCTCGAGGGCCTTCTCGACCAATACGTGCTTGCCACGTCAGCACTGTTCGCCCCAGCTTCCCCTGCTCCTGCTCCTGCTCCCACAGCAGCAGCATCGGGAACAGCAACGGCCGCGGCGGTAGCAGGGAGGGGGCTGGTAGGAGCAGCAGCAGTGGCAGCGGCGGCAGAGAGAGTGGAGCTTCTAGCAACAGCGCTCATCTCCCTGCTGAGAGTTCAGCCACTCCTGAGTGAACACGTGGCACTGCTGGGTTACGTGCCGAAGCTGCTGCTGCTGACTGCAGCCGAGGGGCAACTGCTTACCGCCTCTGCGCCCTCTGCTGCTGGTGCTGCAACTGCTGCTGCAGCAGGGGCAGCAATAGCTGGGGGTGCAGGGGGCGGGGTGGCACAGGGTGGGACGAAGGGAGGGGTAACTGCAGCGGAGGCAGATGCGGAGGCGAGGAGGCAGGCGGGGGAGAGGGCGCGCATGTGCTCCTTGAAGATCCTCCACCAGATAGCCGCCAATGGCCCCTGTGCTGAGGCTCTTGCTGTCCCCGGTGCCAACGCCCCCCAGGTGAGACTTGAATGCCCCTCAGGTAGAACTTGCATGCTTCGAGACGTCTCAAAAAGCAAGGGCATTTGCGGAGGCAGACGCGGGGGCGAGGAGGCAGGCGGGGGAGAGGGAGAGTATGTGCTCGTTGAAGCTCCTCCAGAAGTTGCCGCCCATGGGCTCCTCTGGATTATCCCCTCTGGATTAAGGCGCCCCCCTTGATTATTTTCTCTGGATGAAGGTTCACCCCCGGATGAAGGTTCACCCCCGGATGAAGGTTCACCCCCGGATGAAGGTTCACCTTAGATGAAGGTTCACCCGCGTATGAAGGTTCACCCCGGATGAAGGTTCACCCCGGATGAAGGTTCACCCCGGATGAAGGTTCACCCCGGATGAAGGTTCACCCCCGGATGAAGGTTCACCCCGGATGAAGGTTCACCCCGGATGAAGGTTCACCCCGGATGAAGGTTCACCCCGGATGAAGGTTCACCCCGGATGAAGGTTCACCCCCGGATGAAGGTTCACCCCGGATGAAGGTTCACCCCGGATGAAGGTTCACCCCGGATGAAGGTTCACCCCGGATGAAAGTTCACCCCGGATGAAGGTTCACCCCCGAATGAAGGTTCACCCCTGGATTAAGGCGCCCCCTGAGGCTTTTGTAATCCCCGGCACCAACGCCCCTTAGGTGAGACTTGTACTCCCCGGCACCAACGTGTGATCTATCTAGCCGCCGTGTGCTAAGCTGATGACCTTGCTGCCCCCTCCCACTGCCATTGTTCTGAAATGGCATCTTGTTTACTCTGGAAGTTCCCTCCTTTTTCGTTGATTCCCCCACACCGATGTTTCCAGGTGATAGCCCTGCTGATGCGGGCAATCGGGTGGGCGGGAGCGGCAGTGCTGGCTCTGGAGACAATGAAGAGATTGCTGGCTCCAACCAACAGATCTCGAGACGTCATTGTTGCACAGGCGCTCAGGTAAGCATGGCGGCAGGTGTTTTTGAGGCACCTCAAAAAGCAGCTGTGCTGGCCCTGGAGACAATGAAGAGGCTGCTAGCGCTGACCAACAGATCTCGAGGCGTCGTTGTTGCTCAGGCGCTCCGGTAAGCATGGCGGCAGGTGCTTAAGTGAAGGTAAACAAAGGGTCAGGTGTTTGAGTGTGGGAAGCCAGCAGAGCGACAGGTGAATGAGCGCACATCTTCTTAAGCAAGCAACAGCACCTTGCCTTAGTCACACACTGATTCTTATACACTGTCCTGTGTGTTTCTTTACTGCCTTGCCCAGGAATGGCTTGGTTCAGGTCCTGCTTGCAATCCTGGACTGGCGGGCAGGCGGAAAGGCTTCGCTGGCTGCCCGGATGCGGTGGAGCGAATCAGAGGCAGCGGTGGGGCGAGTGCTGACAGTGGAAATTCTGAGGCTGCTGGGGGCAGATGGGGCCTACTCCATCCGTGTGCAAGAGATCCTGAATGGCTCTGAGGTGAGATTGTGTTGGCTCTGAGATGAGATTGTGTTAGCTCTGAGGTGAGGCATTACAAATGCCAAGTTCTGATGCGCCTCAAAGGTGTTGAAATCTGCTGGGGGCAGATGGGGCCTACTCCATCCATGTGCTCGACATTTTTAATGGCTCTGAGGTGAGCCTTTTCTAAAGCCCAGGTCACAAGCGATTTGATGTGAGATGCTCGACCGCATGGCTCTTTTCATTGGTTCACAAACACGCAAATACCACCCTTTTTTTGGTGAACTATATCAAAGAGGTGGTAGTTGCGTGTTTGGTGCTGCCTCTTCCCATGCTCCGGTCCGGGTCCCTTACTGCGTCCTGCCCCTCTCCCCACACCAGGTTTGGAGGGCGTTCAAGGATCAGAAGCACGACCTATTCCTGCCCACCAACGTGCACTCGTCCATGTGCCATGAGGCGAGTTTTGAGGTGCCTCACACCCATCTCCCCTCCCCCTCACCCTCCTCCCGCCCCCTCTCCCGACACCAGGTGTGGAGGGCGTTCAAGGACCAGAAGCACGACCTATTCCTGCCCACCAACGTGCAGTCATCCGGTGCCGGTGTGGCTGGCTTGCTGCAGGGCGCTGGCTCTGCTGCCCTCGCCCTCCCTGCCCTCGCCCTCCCTGCCTCCGCCGCCCCTCCCACCACCGCTACTCCTGCTGCTGCGCCTGCTGCTGCTCCTGCTGTGGCTGCGGCTGTCGCTCCTGGTGCTACTCTTTCCTCGTCTCCTCTTCATTCTGGGGAAGCAGCTAGAAGCTTATCCTCTTCTACTGCTGCAGTGTCTGCCCATCACTCACCAGTACCCACCGGCTCTCATCTCCCCCATGCCTCACACTCCTCTCCCTCGCTCCTGCCTCTCTCCTCCATGCCCACCCCCCTCTCTCCCGCCCATCCGGTACCCACTCACTCTCATCATGCACACACTCCCTTCGCTCCCTCCCAACCTGCTTCTATCGCAATTCATCCCTCTCCTGCTCGAACAGTGCCTCACTCCACATCTGCAACAGCTTTCTCACCCTCCCCTTCCTTCCCAGCCGCCATTTCAACCACTACATCTCCCCCAAACCGCTCCCAAGCGTTGGATCCGCTATTAGGTTCAGCACCGGGGCTGGTGTCTGCAACAGGAGGTTCGGATGCAGGTGTGGCTGGGATGGCAGCTTCGGCAGTAGCTCGCGCCTCTGTAGGAGAGGCAGCTGGAGCCGTCACAAGAGCAACAGCTGGGGCACGATCTAGTGGTGCTGTGGCAGGGCCGGCTGCTGGTTTGACGGCGCCTGCTGTAGTTTCAGCCTCGGATTTTGATCGAGTGGTGGAGGAAAAAATGCTAGGAGGGGAAATTGGTGGGGCTGCTGGTGGACAGGTGATTGGTCAGGTGGCCCGGCAGGCTGAGCGGGAAAACACTTCTAATGTAGGGAAGGCAAGGATGGAGGATGAAGGGTTTTTGGTGCTTGGGAGGCAGGGGACGGGGGGTACAGGGAACGAGGGTTATGGGGGTGATGAGGAAGAGGAGGAGGTGGCAAGGCAGCCCATAGGGCTGGATGCTGCCCCCTTGTAGCTTCTCACTAGATTAAGTGTACACGACAATGTGTGCTTGCTGTAGAAAATCCTCTTGTATTTCAACCCAAATATATTCAGCGCAAGTGTACCGTATGCCATATCTGCAACCTTTTGTGACTTGGTCCTAAAGTTGCTCTGTGTATACGTTGAAGTAAAGGTGTAATAGGTGTAGCTAATCAACATGTATTTTCCCAAGGACACGCATTCGCTTGCCAAAGCAGCACCCTCCACCGTTTCTCCTCGCCCCACGTCACTCTCTTTCCGAAGCTTATCGAAACCCTAATTTTCCGTTTCCCGCCACGTTTGCACGTCAGTTGTCTTCTCATTCTCCTAGGTATCTCCGTCGCTCTCGCCTCGGCTGAATCCGCGCCTTGCTAGCAGCTCCGGCAGCCCGCGTTCTCCGTTGCCGCCTAACCCCTCGCGCTCCGAGCTTTCCGCCGGCATGGCTTCCGCGCTTAGAGCGTCGTTGGCGCCTGCGGGGCTCAGCGCGGCCGCGCTCTCCGGATCCCCGCTCGGCGGGAGAAAGGAGCACCTCGGCGCGTCTCTCCGCGCGTCCGCCGCCGGGACTCACGGCAGAGTGACCATGGCGTTGCGCGCTCGCCGCGACCCGCGGCTGATCGCGCCGGTAGACGACAAATTCCTCCCGTGGCTGGCGGACGCCGCCCGGTCCGACGAGGGGCGCGCGCAGATCTCCGACGCGGCGAGCGGGCGGTTCGACGGGCCGCCGCTGCTGGACCTCGCCGCGGCGAAAATGGCGGCGACGCAAATGGCGGCCCCCGCGCAGGTGGAGCGCGGTGGAGGGTACGGCGAGCACCGGCCGCGTCGGCCGCCGCCCGATCTGCCGTCGCTGCTGCTGAACAGCCGAATTGTCTACGTCGGCATGCCGGTGGGTGGTGGAACGTGGGAGAAAAAAGTTTCAAGGGAGCAGCAATTTCGAGTCGCTCCTGCTGAGCAGCCGAATCGTGCACATAGGCATGCCGGTGGGTGTTCGAATGTGCAAGTTAGAAAACGCAGAGCTGTTGCCGGCGGTTACGGAGCTGGGTGAATGCATTGCACTTCCCTTCGCCAGCCCCCTCCCTCCCTTTTTGCTCAACGCGCAGCAGTAACGGAGCTGGTGGTAGCGCAGCTGCTGTACCTGCAGTGGTTTACGCTATCTGCTTCTCCCCGTTTCTTCCCCCCCGCCCTCCTCCCTCCCATCCTGCCTTCCGCGCGGCCTTTACCACCCCGCCTTCCTGCGTGCAGTTGGTACCAGCGGTAACGGAGCTGGTGATAGCGCAGCTGCTGTACCTTCAGTGGCTGGATCCACGTCAGCCTACCTACGTCTACCTCAACTCCACCGGCACCTCCCGCGCTGATGGCGAAACGGTGAGTCAGGCTGATGTGGCATGGTGACGTGGCAAGGTGACGTGGCAGGGTGCTTTGGGCACACGTGGGGTGCGGTGCGTATAGGAGCCCGTCAAGCCAGCTACCCCTGTATCAATTCCTGCTCGAATTTCTGAGCAACGGCCATTTGGTGGGTTGGGTTGAAGGATGAGTCAACACGAAGTGGTGAGGCATAATGAGACGGTCTGAAGCATGCATAGTTGCTTGCATATGGTCCCTTCCCTTCGCAAATCACATCCACTCGCTCCAATGCAAATGCGTAGACAGCAAGCTAGTTGCTTAGCCATTTGGCTCTAACTCGCTGCCCAACACCCTCGCCCTCTCTCTTTCCCCTTGTCTTCCCCCTGCCCCTCTTCACTCCACCTCTCCCCCCCCCTCCCCCCTCCTTGCTTCCCTTCCTTTCCCCTTCCCCCTCCGCCCGTTGTCATTTTTGCTCGCAGGTGGGCATGGAGACGGAGGGGTTTGCTATATACGACACCATGATGCAGATGAAGAACGAGGTACGGTGCAGAGGAGTGAGGTGCGATGCAGAGAAGTGAGGTGTGGTGCTAAGGAGTGAGGCGCGGTGCAGAGGAGTGAGGTATGGTGCAGAAGAGAGTTGCGGGGGAAGTCTGACCTGCCTTGACATGGAATTTTGAAATCCGCGCTACGATGAACAACGCGCGCTCCGGGCCCCTGCATATGGCGGCTGACTCTCCCTCACGCGCTTCGCTGCAAAAGCTTATGCAGAGGCCCGGAGCGCGCGTCGTTCATCGTAGGGCGAATTTCAACATTCCATGTCCACACGCCACCACCATGATCCAGCAGCCGCGCCTGCCCTTTACTTTCCTTTGGTCCCTCTGCCCCCCTCCCTACACCCCCTGCTGTCCCCCTTAAAACCCCCTGCTGCCTCCTGCTGCCCCCACTGCCCCTTCCTGTGCTCCCTCCCCCCCTCCCCCGGTTCCCACTCCTCCAGATGCAAACAGTGGGCGTGGGGGCGGCGATAGGCCAGGCGTGCATGCTGCTGGCGGCGGGGGAGAAGGGGCGCCGATTCATGCTGCCACACGCCACCGCCATGATCCAGCAGCCGCGCCTGCCCTCCACGGGACAGATGTCAGCCATTGATGTGCACATCCGCGCCAAGGAGGTCCGTTGATTTGCATCTGAGCCAAGGAGGTCCGTTGATTCAAGAGTCTGTTGTAATGGTCAACGATTTTTGCATTTGGTATTCTGTTGTTGTTCATGTTATCGATATTGTTTCCAAGTGTAGCAATATAAATGTGTTCATTTTTCTCTCCTCTCCCCTCCCCTGCCCTGCCCTCCCCTCCCCTCCCCTCCGCTCCCCGCCCCTCCCCTTCCCCATCTCAGGTGGTGAACAACAGAGACACTCTCGTGAAGCTCCTCGCCCGCCACACAGGCAATGTACGTTCCAGTCTCTACTTCTTGATTCCGCACTTGTTCAACTTGATGTCTATTCACCGCACTCCACTCCACTCCACTCAACGCCTCTCCACCTCACTCCTCCCGGCAGTCATTTGAAAGAAAAGCCTGACAATGAAGCGCCCCAATCGTGGGAGCCTACATTCACCCCATCCCACCACACCCCATCTCTCAGCACTCCATCTCACTGCACCCTGTCTCACAGCACCGCAATCTCAGTTACACCCTTATCTCTTACGCTTTTCTTCTTTCTCTTTTCTTCCCCGCCAGTCGTTTGAGAAGATTGCCAAGACCATGGAGCGCCCGTACTACATGAACTCTTTTTTGAAAGCTACGATCGTCTCATCTCACCGCCCCCCCATCATTTTCTTCTCTCTCTTCCCGCCAGTCGTTTGAGAAGATTGCCAAGACCATGGAGCGCCCGTACTACATGAACTCTTTTTTGAAAGCTACGATCGTCTCATCTCACCGCCCCCCATCATTTTCTTCTCTCTCTTCCCGCCAGTCGTTTGAGAAGATTGCCAAGACCATGGAGCGCCCGTACTACATGAACCCACAGAGGGCTCTCGAGTTCGGGGTGATTGACAAGGTGAGTGGGTGTGTCCACAGTGAGTGGGTGACATGGCATTAGCTGTTTCTAGTGCGTTAGTGCGCTTGCGTGTGGAGGGGTTAACACAGTGAGGTGGCATTTATGCTGTCAGCCAAGGTGAGGTGATGAGGCTTGAACTCCTCTCTGTGTTCTACGTGTTCGCGTGCAGATCCTGTGGCGGGCCCAGGGGGCGATGGCAAAGACACCGTCAGCGGAAGTTTTTGAGGCGCCTCAGAAATAAACACATTATTTTCCCCCTGCCTGCTGCTCCTGCCTCTCTTAAAGCCTGTCTGTCCTGTGTGCGTGTATCTCCCATGGCGCGGCCAGGAGGCGTTGGCCAAGACATTTGGTGCTCCTTTCCCCCCATCAAACCACTCGCCTCTGTGTGCTGCTCCCATTCCCCCATACCCACTTCACTCTGTGTGCTGCTCGTGTCCCTGCAGATCCTGTGGCGCGGCCAGGAGGCCATGGCGAAGACACTGTCAGCGGAGGAGTGGGACAAGGGGGCTGGCATTCGCATGATGGAGAAACCTGCTGCTCCCCCCGCCTGACACACCCACACCCGCACACACGCATCATGATCCGCTTTACTAGCTTGCCTTGGCTACTGCATGATTCATTAGAGTACGTACGTGCTGAGTAGGTGTTATGTGCAGTCTTGTTGCCTTTGTTATGTCTGATTTAGCATTTCTAGTGTCGCACTAGAAGTGGGATAAATGGCTTCTGTAAGAGCTGCTGTAACAAAACCTTCTCAAGTACCTAAGAAAAATTCCACGAGCTATGTACAGTCCCTCATCTGGAAGTGCTACCACAAGACTTGAATCGAGGTTCATTCAGAGCTAGGTGTATCTCATGACATGAAAGTAAGTGAGCGTTTGGAGATGAACCCTTGCTCTGCTTCCCAGCATCTTTGTTCTCCCTTTTCCCCCCCTTTTCCAGCTTTCCCACTCTCTCCCCTCTACCCGCTCCCCTCTACCCTCTCCTATCAACCCTCGCTTTCACCACCATCCCCAGCTTCTCTGCCCTTTCTCTTATGCAACTAATCTCCCTGCTTCATCTTCCTTCTCCCCTCTCCTCATCACCACCAGCTGCTGCAGGCGCTTACTAAGCTCCTATGCCCCTTCTCTTTCCTCCTCTCCACCCTTCCTCCCTGCCTCCTCTTCATCCTCCCTCCACCTCACCACCAACCAGCTTCTTTGAGTTGAATTTTGAGGCGCCTCAAAATTCAGCTCACTGCTGCAGCCTTTTTCTCAGCTCCAGCTCCTCTCTCCATACCTCTCCGTTGAATCACTGCTTCTCTCATCTTTTTTCACGCTGAATCACTGCTTCTCTCATCATTTTTCACGTTGAATCACTGCTTCTCTCATCTTCATCCCTCTTTTTCCACCTCCCCTTTCCTCGCAACCACCAGCTGCCGCAACCCTTTTCTTAATCCAGTTCCTCTCTCCATACCTCCTCCTTATTCCTTCCCTCCTCCTCATCCTTCCTCTTCGTCCTCGCACCTCCTCGCCACCACCAGCTGCTGCAGCCTCTTCCTCAGCTCCAGCTCCTCGGCCAGCCGTACCCGCAGTCGTGACAGCCGGGGCAGCTCTTGCTGTCAGGAAGGGGAGGAAGGCGAATGGGAGAGAGAAGGTAGTGAGGTGTGAGGCACGAGAGGGCGTGTGCTTTCAGTCGACTCAATCCTCAGCTCCAGCTCCTTTGCCTGTCGTACCCGCAGTCGTGACAGCCGGGGCAGCTCTTGCTGTCAGTAAGGGGAGGAAGGCAAATGGGAGAGAGAAGGTAGTGAGGTGTGAGGCACGAGAGGGCGTGTGCTTTCAGTCGACTCAATCCTCAGCTCCAGCTCCTTGGCCTGTCGTATCCGCAGTCGTGACAGCCGGGGCAGCTCTTGCTAAAAAAGAAAAGAAAGCAATTTGGAAAGGCGAGGGCAGATAGAGAAGGCAGTTAAAAGCATCAGCAGGAAAACATGTGGCCTAGGGGCAGGAAAAGGCACTCAACCAGGGCAACGGCAATTGATAGTGCCGGTGGTGAGGTGTTAGGCGGAGGGGGGTGGAAAAAACAGGGTGGTGCCCTGGTAGGCGAAGTTCACTAGCACCACTTGGCATCCCAAAATATTCCAAGACAAATTGCAGACAGTTCTAGACATCTCAGCAAAATTCCCACCCAAACCAATTCTCACTCACCCCCCAGGCAGCAGGCGAGGCAGTGAGGCCCTGAGCTTGTTCCATGAGAGACGATCCCGAGGCAATGAGGCGGCCTCTCAAGCCCTCCACTCACCCCCCGATCTCCCCACTAAATCCCAAACCGTCTCTCACTCACCCCCCAGGCAGCAGGCGAGGCAGTGAGGCCCTGAGCTTGCTCCATGAGAGACGATCCCGAGGCAACGAGGCGGCTGGTGCGGGTGGCGTGGACGGCAGTCATGAGGGCGGCAAAGTCGTCCTGATGCTCCACCTCCACTGGCAGCCACTCGTCCGTCCCTGACTGGTCCAGAGAGCTCATCAGCCAATCCTGAGGGTCACGAACAGGATAAAGAACGGATCAGGTAAAATATATACATATATATCTTTACAGATAACATGCGAGGACGGGGAGAATGGGGTAAACGAACATGGGAGTTTTGTGAAAGTAGAAAGCAACGGCGTGTTACCACACGCGTTCTGTGGTCGCTGAAGATGACCAGCATGTCAGCGGCCGAGGTGACTTCTCAAGGTGACTTTTGAGTCGACTCAAAAGTCACCTAGTAGAAAGTAACGGCGTGTTACCACACCCGTTCTGTGGTCGCTAAAGAGGAGCAGCATGTCAGTGGCAGAGGTGACTTTTCAGTCGATGCAAGAACGAGGTTACTTATGGGTCCCGCAAAAGCCCACACGCACCCAGTTGTCGTTGAGGAGCAGCAGCATGTCGGCGAGTTGAAATTCTCTGTCAGAGGCCCCAACGAGCTCAGAGCGCGCATGCTCCTGCGACAGGTAACCGGGTTACCACACGCACCCAGTACTAGATATACTCATCACGCACCCAGTTGTCGTTGAGGAGCAGCAGCATGTCAGCGGCGGAGTTGATATTCTCTGTCAGGGGCTCCAACGAGCTCAGCACCAGCGCGTTTCCCAGCGCCGCGTGCTCCTGCACCAGGTAACCGGGTTACCAGGAAATAGAATCCCATGAATCTGGATTACCATAGATACGATTAACCAGGATATCGAGTTACCGGGGAAGCAGCGCAGATAGGGTATGGGAGGTGGCCTAGACGAGCCAAGAGACATCCAATTTCTACATCGGAGCAGACAGGGTAGGGTGCTGCTTCATACAGCCTACGGTCCTAGTAGTCAAATAGGTTCCGACGTGATTCTAGGGATGTTAAAGCTTGGCGGGATACGTGCCTTCCTGAGCTGCAGTTCCAGCTCCATGCTGGTAACCAGCCGTTCCTCGTCAACGGCCGCCATGACTGTGTTCCACTTCGCGCGAATCTCCTCGTCCATGCTGCTCGCACTCCACCTCGCATCGCTGAGAGCACAGCTGTTCCCATGGTTCGCATTTCTAACGTTGCAATTCCCGGCGGGCTGTATGGCTGGTGAATTTTCACTACGCGGTGCATGCCTAGAGCCTCCGTGAACAACGACGTCTCTAGAACTGGTAACCGCATCGCGCCTGCTGGGAGGGAGTCTATTGCGGCCTCGATTCATGGCAACGGCTCGTCTGGGAGAATGAGAGCCTAGAACGATCTAGTACGAGTGTGACTCGTAACGCGTTAAAACAGGGAAAAACTGGGGCTCAGACGGGTTTAACGTGATTGCAAAAGCTCCAACAAAGCGCCATCACGTGCTGCGTACTCTCTATTTCACACCATCCGTAATTATTCGCGGATTCTGGTACTAGCCATGCTCTCACTTGCTTGTGCGCGAAGCGTATTTACGGATTTGTTGAAAACACTTCCTTTTCTAGAAAATGTCGAGCATCGGGAGTGGTGGTGACTGCAGGGAACAAATCTCGATGCAAATCCATTTCTGACACAAAATGCCATTCGCGGTACTAACAGATGCGACTAACACAAGATCCATAATAGGATATGTCATGTATAAGAAGTTCGCAGCATTCTCACAGTTTCTCTTTGATTACAGCTGTCATGCGCCAATCCGAGGGGCGCACCAACCAGCGGCTCTCGGTTTGCCGCGTGTCAAATCGACCCGCCAGTCAAAACATGTGGCTCGCAGCGCTGTCCCCCCTTCCCTGTCATGGGGGCGAATTTTGCTTCTTGAGGGGAGAGGGCTTGCCCAGTGCGACAACATCGAGGGAGGTCAAGAACCGTGAGCAAGAAACGGACAGGAAGCTGAGAGAGGAAACAAAGCTGTGAGAAAATCCACATACACATCAAATGTTGGGAATAAATTATATCCTTGTTGCCTGCTGATTGCCACCTGCTGCTTGCTGCCGCTGCCTGCCAGTCCACCGGAATCCCTGAACTGGTTGCGCGTTGATACATCGCTTGGGCATCTTCCGTCATCAGTGATTGTCGCCGTTGTCGCACACCGTCGTTACGAGTCGCAATGACGTGGTCCGACTATGGGATGCTCGCAGCGTCCATCGGCCTCCCCATCGGGCAGGGCTTCCTCTCCGCGACGCTCTTCGGCGGTGGCGATTCGCGTGAGTCGCTACCGTTACAATTCCCTCGCACTCGGCGTAAAGCGTTTCTTAATACCTCCACGAATATCGGATCATACCAATTCCGCATGTCAGGGACGGAGAATTTCGTCGCGCATTTCGTCCTCCCCTTGCTTGTGCCGTTCGCTCTTTGCTCTCCTCTGGATCTCCTGTATGCAAAGTGCGACGGAAAAGAAGGTCACTTGTGAGCGTTTCCAAAGAAGCTTCCCTCTAATTTCATGCTCTCTCCCTTCTTCTTACAGCTCATTCAGTGGTCACACATGCGTAGCTCTTTTGACTGCTCGCAAACAAGTTTGCTATCGCAATTAAATCCAAAACCGTTACCAAGTTCGGTAACAGCTCGGTCCCGCAGTCTGGACAAGCCTTTACAAGTTTTATCCAATGCTTATTATATCTCCACCCCCCTTATCGCTGTTTCCAATCCAGCATGGTACAGGAGCCTCGACAAGCCCTCGTGGACCCCCCCGGTGAGTGCATGGGTTGAAACGTTCAGGGAGTGGTTTCAAGTAATGGCGGCGGTTTGATTTTTGAGGTGCATCGAATACCCGCCGGTGTGTGTCTGGGTTGAAACGATGAAGGAGTTGGGGGTGGGGGGGAACGGCGAAGGGCGGTGTGGGAGCATTACAGAGTAGAGGGGGTAGCGAGTGTAGCCACCGACCGATCGAGCATGGAAACAATAAAGCTAGGAATCGTCGTTTCACTGGCGCTCAGTCTGTTCTTCCGGAAAAATCCATCTCCCTTGCACCTCCGTCTGTGAATTTCCCTGTCTCTCTTTCCTCTGCCGCTGTCCCTGTTCTGTCTCTGCCACCCACCGCTGTCCCTGGCTTTCTCTCTACTGCCCTCTGCGTGTCTGTCCCGTGCAACATGCGCAGGGGTGGGTGTTCCCGGTGGTGTGGATCAACCTCTACATCATGATGGGCGTCGCTGCGTGGCTCGTGTGGCTGCAAGGAGGTACTTACTAGTCACGCTTTTCTTCCTCACATACCCTGCCTCTCCTGTCCCTGCCCGGAATCGCCTACGCTGTGCTGTCTTTGTGTCACACCCCATAGAGTCACACCCATTGAGTCACATCCATTGAATGCCCTGCTTCAATTCGCGTGCTCCTTTGTGCATCGTGATACTGTCTCTCTGTGCTTTGACCGTGCAGGATTCTCCGTGCAAGCTCTCCCACTGGGCTTCTACCTGTTTCAGGTGACCTTCGCTGCTTCACTCTCACTTTCACCTCTTACTCTCTACCTCACCTCCCCCCCCCCCCCCCCCCACGGCCCCCCCTTCCCTCCCCCGGTCATCCCCCATTTCGCGTTCTCTACCCCCTTCTTGTAAGAATTTCTGCAGCTCCAGCCTTTTTGTCCCCCATGTCAAGAGACTGACAATCTATTACTCTGTCAGTCTTCCTGCATCTTCCCCCCAGTCCACCCCATCCCCCCGTCCCCCGGTTCTGCGCGGCCCTGCGCGCCAGTTCCTGCTCAACTTCCTCTGGACGCCAGCGCAAGCTTGCTTGTCCCCCACATTCACGCTTATTCCTCTTTGTTACAATCCAATCCACCACACTGTTTGATTTCTTGCGTCCTCGCCCCCCCACCCCACCCCTTGTTTCTGCGTGTCCCTGCGGTGCGGTCCAGTTGCTGCTCAACTTCCTCTGGACGCCGCTCTTCTTCGGCATGCGCCAGATTGCTTGTCTCCCGCATTCGCGATTTTTCATTTTATCAACAATCTACCTCACTGTTTGTTTTTTGGTGTCTTCCTCCCACCCCCCCACCACCCCCTCCCCCATGCGGCCCAGTTGCTGCTCAACTTCCTCTGGACGCCGCTCTTCTTTGGCATGCGCAAGATTGTGAGTGGTTCAGCTCGGTTCGTGGCTCTGGGAGGACGGTTGGGCGGCTAGCGGGGCGGCTAGCGGGGCGGCTAGTGGGGTGGCTAGCGGGGCGGCAAACTGGGTGGCTCAGAGTGGGAGGGTAGGAGTCAGCACGATGGGTGACTTTGGGAGCAAGCGGGGCATGACCTTGAACGAGTGAGCAGCACGTGAGGTGAGTGAGGGTGTGAGGAAGGGCGAGGTACTGTGTGTGGGAGTGTAGGCCAGATAGACTTTCCCCTCTTTATTCATGCCCTGCCGGGTTTGCATTCTTTTTCATGTTCTTCCCGTGAGATCTCTCTATGATACCGTTCCCTTTCCTCCTCTTCCCTCCTCTTCCCCACCTAAACTCCCACACACAGTACCTCACCCTTCCTGTGTCAGGATACCCTTCCCTTCCCTCCCCTCCTCCCCTTCCTCTTCCTCCCCCACCGCATCCCTGCAGGACTGGGCTTTGGTGGAGATAGTGCTGCTGTGGCTGGCAGTCTTCTCCAACATCGTGCTCTTCCGCCCGTCATGCCTTTCCCACGTGCCTCTCCTAGACCTTCAATCCGCTACCCCACCTTATGCCTCCAGGACTGGGTTTTGGTGGAGATAGTGCTGCTGTGGCTGGAAGTCTTCTCCACCATTGTGCTCTTCTGGCCCGTCAGCAGCCCTTTGAGGCGCCTCAAGTGTTCGTTGCCTTTTTGAACGACTCTCCTAAACCCCGCATCCCCTCCCCCACCGCATCCCTGCAGGACTGGGCGCTAGCGGAGATAGTGCTGCTGTGGCTGTCAGTCTTCAGCACCATTGTGCTCTTCTGGCCTGTCAGCAAGCTCGCCTCCATCCTGCTCTGGCCCTACATCGTCTGGTAACCACCCGCACCCGCACTGCACCCTCTCTGCTTGCTTCGTTCTCCTTCCGCTTGACCTACTTTTGAGGCAACTTCATCAAGCTCGCCTCCATCCTCCTCTGGCCCTACATCGTCTGGTAACTAACCACCTGCACCATGCCTGCTGCTTCCCACGTTCTCCTCTCTCGAGTGCACCAAACCTGTTAATCACTCGCTGTTTTCTGTTTTCTCTCTCCCGTGGTAGGCTTGCCTCGGACTGAATCGCTGCATACTCTTTTCTTTCCCCAACAGGGCATCCATTGCAACCAGCCTCAACTGGTACATCTTTCTGCACAAGGCTCGCCCCATGCTGCATGCACTCAATCCTTCACCGCACACCACCCCTTTTAACCCCCTCCTAACAGAGAATCCGTTGCAACCAGCCTCAGCTGGTACATCTTTCTGCACAAGGCTCGTCCCATGCTGCATGCACTCAATCCTTCACCGCACACCACCCCTCTTAACCCCCCCAACAGGGCATCCATCGCCACGAGCCTCAACTGGTACATCTTCCTGCACAACGCTCCCACGCCCGGTGCTGATGGCCTTGCCCAGCCCCTCCGAGCCTCCGACTGAGGGTCGGGAGTATAGAGAGGATAGGTGACACGCTGTGCTTGAGGCGTGTTGAAAATGCTGGCATACGTTGCCTGTGCAGCCCCTCTGTTCCTCGGACTGAGGGGCGGAAGTGTGTGACATTGGGCTTCAGCCTTCATTGCCCTTGCGACGACTCGGATGATATTTTGGGTCGGCTTTTGGGTCGGCTCAAAAGGCTGGCACGGAATCCTCTGCTCCTTAGGGTTGAGTACCGTATCGTTGAGAGAGACTGTTCGGATGTTTGATCAGGGTATTTTTTTGTGAAGAGTGTACACTCAGGTTCATAGAAGTATAGATTGAGGAAGCTTGCTTCCTTGTCCGTATGCATTGGCATTGTTCTGTTTACATGATATGCACAGTGCTTCAGACACATGCTAGTACATGCAAAAAAATAAATCTACATATGGGTCACCCGTTCAAGCGGCCGTGGTAGGGTAATTGGTCTTGGGGTGGGTGGTGGGATGGGAATGTTGACTGCGCCAATGGAGTTGGAGACACGTGGGTGGAGGAAAATGAGCTACAACAACATACGATTTTTGTAGTTGGAGAAGGGTACCGTAATAAGCGCGTTTAGGCGATGCCAAACATTCGGTATCGGCAGCTTCACTTTTACGATACATAATTATGAAAAGTACTATGTGTGCTTATAGATATATTCTTTTGTTGTGACGGAGCTGCCAAGTGTTCACCAGTCAGCCTGTTTTATCAAGTAGTGAATGCATGTACCGAATACCATTCTGATGAACTACAATATCAGGCATCTGCTTTTTGCAGGAAATCAGAGCACTTGTCATGTCAACAATTCTGGTAAAATGTATGCCAGGTGCTTCGGCGGTAAAGGATATGACCGTCTGTAAGGAAAAATCCTTTTCCTTACTTCGCATCCCTGCTCAACGCATACATCACTGTAGCACCACAGTCAGCACCGTTACCACTCGCAATCCTCGCATCGACAATCCGCCCGCCACTTTCGCACGTCGCACCCTGACCTCACGGCTCGGCAGGTAACCCGCGCTCCGGGCCTCCGCTTCGACACTTTTCCCAACCTCAGTCCCAAGCCCGTCGCGCGACAACCACAGTCCATTACCGTTACCACTGTAGTTTTGCTATATATTCTTCGCTCATGCCTTCGCTCATTGTACTCTTGCTTCGATAGTGCAATTCTCGTTCGTTCACTCAATTGCACTCATAACACTTGGTATTCAGAGCCTACGATCTCCTCTCGCACCGCACCCACACCTTCGCTTCCCCACTATCTCATTTTTTTTGGGGGGGGTAAACGTCCCTCAGCAACATAGCACCGCCGCTCGTAGTGCTCTCTCGTAAGTACGCACGGCCACGACCGAGGCTCTCGCTGAGCTCGCCCGACACCCCCGCCATGGCCGAATTCACGCTCGCCACATTGACGCAGGAGCAGCTCGACCGCCTGGTGCGCCAACTTGAAGATTCGGCGCTCGAAATTGCGACGCTCACGGCGGAACGTGACTCCGCACGTCAGCAATCCACGGTGAACATTCCAGCGCCACCACACGCACCGACAAATGCATCTACACAATCGGACGAGCCGATCGTCATTTCGTCCGGCACACCAACGCAACACGACAGCGTGGGACAACGCTTAGGCGCAGCCAGTGACGGCGCCGCCCAGCCGATGCCTGGCATGGGAAGAAACAGGGTCGCACCAAGCCTCCGGGAGCCTCGCGAAGCCCGTCGGCACGTGGAGTTTGCGGTGACAAGTGGCGAACAGGCCATTATGGCACCCATGCCACTCAAGCCACAACGCATGCCCTGCTTCGACCCAAGCCAACGTGGAGGTCCGACGGTTCAATCGTGGGTTTTCACAATGAACGTCTTATTCGACGCGAATTACGTCGAGTCGGACGCAACGAAGATTCGGTATGCCGTTTCGTTGTTAAGGGGCCCCGCCATGGACTGGTGGCGAGTCATCGTGACGTCGCCACGAGCCTACGAGCCACCGTCGCAAGAGGAAGGGCCCACGGGCCAAGCTGATACCTGGAGTTCATTCTGCGAGACCGCCCAATACAGCACGTGGGATGCGTGGTGCGCAGGGCTTCGGGCGCGCTTCGAGCCAATCGCGGCTTCTATTTCGGCGCGTCAGAGATTGCGCACTTGGCGGCAGCTCGGGTCGGTTCAAGATTACACGAGCGGTTTTCTCGCACTTTGTGAGCAGGTTGGCTACATGCACGAAGCGGAGCGGGTGGACCGTTACGTCGGAGGGCTGAAGCCGGATATCTCGCACGAAATCATGCTGCGCGGACTCTCAAACTTTAGCGAGATTCTCGCGCTCGCCGAGAAAATCGACATTCTACGCCGACCGAGACCGGGGTCCTACTACGGACATCGTCCTCGGGGACCGATCGAGAACGCCACTGTAAACGCTATTGCAACGAATGCAGCTGTCGCACCGTTTAAGGGGCGCTGCTTTGCTTGCAACAGGCCGGGCCATCGCAAGAGCGAATGCACAGAGGAGCTAAGGCGCCGCGGAGCAGAGCAGGGGGAGAAGTCTCAGAGGCAGGGAAACGCCAGCAGTCAGTAGAAGTTGGGCCAACTACTGACGAGACTGCCTGCTCGCCCAACCGCACGGACCCTCACCGAGTCACAGTACCGATTCACGCCATCGATCGGGCTCGGATGAATAAGGAGGGTACAGCGACGGATTGCCCAGTACTGATCCACAGGAAAATACAGGGAGCAGCAGTGAAGATTTTTATCGACGGAGGAGCAAGCCACAGTTTAGTTAATACTGCAACCGCACGAAAACTACAGCTGACACTTAGCCGTTGCTTACCGGAGATAGACGCACGCTTAGTCGACGGCACGCCACTGGCCATACGGGAAAAGGTAGAGCGAGTCAAAGTCCGCTGCGGGGGGAATTTCGGGTTTACAAAGGAAATGCTCGCAACGACACTGGATGGGCACAATATTTTACTGGGACGTGATTGGCTGCGACGGTATAACCCACGAATTGACAGGACGACGGGTAGCTGCACCGTGCGAAGTAGTGGTAACTGGGTCGAGCTACCTCGCTGGTAGTCGCCCGAGCCTTCAACGGTCCACGTCAACGCCATCACGATGAAACGGGTTGTCACCGCTGTTGCTGACGTGTACACAGTAGATATAGCATTAGTGGGAGAAGCGGAGCAGCCGAGCGATTTTCAGAAACTGTTGGCAGCAGTACTGTCAGAACATTATAGCTTATGCTTTTGTGTAGGCTGTAGTGGGGTATCCCATAGGGGGTACAGCCCAATTAGGGTTAGTACTTGTACCCACTTCACTCATAGTTCATTCATTCTCGTTCTCACTTTCTCATGGTATCGAGCAGGTTCCCTCGTGGGAACTGTTCCTAGGGCCCACCGATCCTCCCTTTTTTTTTTCCTGCCCGGGGCGCGTCCTGCCCCTGCCCGAAGCGCGCCTAGGGTCGCGCCCTCCTTAGCGGCCCGTCGCGTCGCCCTTAGCGGCCCGTCGCGTCGCCCTTAGCGGCCGCGTCGCTCAGCCCTAACGGCCGCGTCACGCCGCCCTTCTCCTGCGGCCCGCCGCCCTCAACTGCGGCCCCGCCGCCCTCAACTGCGGCCCCGCCGCCCTCAACTGCGGCCCCGCCGCCCTCAACTGCGGCCCCGCCGCCCTTCTCTACGGCCCCGCCGCTTTCACCTGCGGCCCCGCCGCCCTCAACTACTGCGGCCCCGCCGCCCTCAACTGCTGCGGCCCTGCCGCCCTCAACTGCGGCCCCGCCACCCTCAACTGCTGCGGCCCCGCCGCCCTTTACTGCTGCGGCCCCGCCGCCCTCAACTGCGGCCCCGCCGCCCTTCTCTGCGGCCCCGCCGCCCTCTGCTGCGGCCCCGCTGCTCTCACCTGCGGCCCCGCCGCTTTCACATGCGGCCCCGTCGCCCTCAACTGCTGCGGCCCCGCCGCCCTCAACTACTGCGGCCCCGCCGCCCTCAACTGCGGCCCCGCCGCCCTTCTCTGCGGCCCCGCCGCCCTCTGCTGCGGCCCAGCCGCTCTCACCTGCGGCCCCGCCGCTTTCACCTGCGGCCCCGCCCCTCTCGTTGGCGGCCCCACCGCTCTCATCTGCGGCCCCGTCACCTGCTGCAGCGCCGCCCGCCACCCGGGCTTCCCGACCCGCCCCACCCAGCCGAGCAGCCGACCGCCGCGCCGCCCTGCAGCAGCACCGTCGAGCCGCCCGGGCAACCGAGCAGCCGGACAGCCGGCGGCCGAGCCGCCCAGCAGCCCTGCAGCCGAGCCGCCCAGCAGCCGAGCCGCCCTGCAGCTGAGCCGCCCAGCAGCCGAGCCGCCGTACAGTCGAGCCGCCGGACCGCCGAGCGGCACTGCAGCCGAGCCGCCCAGCAGCCCAGTAGCCGAGCCGCCGATCTGCCGAGCCGCCCTACTGCCGAGCCGCCCGAGCTGCCCTGTCCGGTGAGCACAGTGCCTCTCTTGCTACACTGCCCTCACCCTACTGTTGCACTGCTAGTCTACTGTGGTCATGGCTACCCCTAGTGTCCTCGCTTTTGACGCTGAGGGTCGAGCCATTGACTTTGACGTCTGGGTAGATGACCTGCAGCTGTACTTACAGTGCGATAGGGCAGACGGTCTCTCTCTCTTTGACCTCACCTCTGGCGCCTCTCCTGCCCCTGCTGCTGATGCTGACGCCACTGTTCGCTCCCAGTGGGCCACGCGCGACGCTGCTGCACGTCTTGCTGTGCGTCGCCACCTCCCTACCTCCGAGCGTGCGCACTTTAGTCAGTACAAGAGTGCTCAGACCTTGTACGACGCTGTAGTTGCGCGCTACTCCTCCCCTGCCACTGCTGCACTGAGCCGTCTCATGCTACCGTACCTCTTCCCTCACCTTGCTGCCTTTCCCACTGTCGCTGACCTCATTACGCACCTCCGCACTAGTGACACTCGCTACCGTGCTGCGCATCCTGCTGACTTCTGCGCCAAGAACCCCCCCCCCCCCCCCATGTACA